GTGTCTTAAATGTGGATTTAATCACAGCATTAAGGTAACGGTCACTGCATTCAACCCGGAGGGTGCAAACATCTTCCCTGAGCAGACAGCTCTGCAGCATCCTTATTAATCCAAAAATCATACCCATATTAATCACTCCACAGATTATTACTCTACCCATATCCATTACCAACCTGCTAATCCTCCAGCCTGTGCACTGGGGCATTGGCTTCCCACCAGCAGCTCCTCGTTGTTCCTCTGCAGATGGAGGGAGGGAGTTCTGCCTTGTTCCAGAGGTGCATCCTTGGGAGCTCCCTGCAGAGCTCCCCACTTCACAGCTCCCAGTCAAAAGGCAGCCAGTTCACTAGTGTGTGTGTAAATGAGGGGTTTGTTTGAGACCTGCAATCAGTACAGTGCTGAGACCACTGTGAACACCTTTCCTACACCCTCCCCATGGCAGCACACACCAAGCCCAGGCAGTGCCCTGCTGCTCCAGCACCTACTCCTACAAGAATACAGGCAATTATAGCATCTCCAGAGAGTGATTCAGCACAGCTGGGGTGATTTACCTTCTAGAAACACTGATCTCCTTTATATATCTGTAGCCTGTGAGGTGAATCCCACCCATTAACATGATAAGAGCTGCTGGTCAGGGCCATCATTTTGCTGCCAGCCTCACTGCCAATCCTCCTGGAAGCATCAGGCCATCCTCCTGCTTCTACCTGCACGGGAAAAGAGGCCAGGCCACGAACAGAGCAATCCTTTGAATTCCCTCCCAAAGTGGATTTGAGCACTTTTGGTGCTTGATCTAATTGTTTGGTGCATTTGTTCCCTGTGACTCGCCTTGAGCCACTTCCCTCCCAGGCAGGGTGCTGGCACTCTGACCCGGGCTTGTCAAAGGCTAAAATGCTATTTGAGCACGTATAAAATATGCATGAGGTCTGTGACCTAGTCTATAAACCCCTGTACAGCCCGAGGCAGTGCCTTTGTGGAGGAGCTCAGAGACATTGCAGGTTCCCGCTGCAAAAATCAAATGAACGTCAAAAGAATGCTCAAAAAACTCTTCCCCCTGAGATCCCCCCCCACCACTTCCCTTTGTGACAGCTGAACACGGCAAAAAAAGGAGGAACTTTTAAGCATTTCTATCTTCTCCTCAAAGCTCAGCCTAATTGAGTGCTAACAAAAGAGAAAATGCTTTCTCCTCTCCGGGCAGGCGGCGGCGGCTGGAGCAGAATGACAATTCCAGCCGTGCGGAGACATCCAGCTCTGGCAGACCTGAACTCATCTGGCCACCCACTGCCACCTTAGCACGAGGGGTCTGTGTGTCCAGAGCCAGCTCTGGCAGCCCCAGTGGCTCCTGGCCACCTCCCACCACCTTAACACGAGGGATCCGTGTGTCCAGCGCCAGCCCCGGCACCCAGCAGGGACTTGGAATGTCTTCATTCCCGGTGCTTCTGCAGTGCCTTCCATCGGAGACTCCCAAAGTGTCATTAAATCTCCCAACACCTGCACTGGGGATGGGAATTAACTCTGTTAGGCCACTTAGAGGGGAAACAGGTGGAAGGCAGGATGATTTTGTGGCAAGAGAGCAGCAAAGCCGGGAGTGATCCACATGGGGGGGGTGATTCTTCCCACTGCAGGAGGAAATGGAGGACAGGACAAGGGGGAAGGATTTACACTGACAGAGGGTGGGTTTAGATTAGACATTAGGAAGAAATTCTTCCCTGTGAGGGTGGGGAGGCCCTGGCACAGGTTGCCCAGAGAAGCTGTGGCTGCCCCACCCCTGGAAGTGTCCAAGGCCAGGTTGGATGGGGCCTGGAGCAACCTGGGCTGGTGGAAGGTGTCCCTGCCCATGGCAGAGGGCAGGAGTCAGATGATCTTTACGGTCTCTTCCAACCCAAACCATTCTCTGACTCTGTGTCATTATTCCTGGTGCTCAGCCCACAGCCAAGCCTATTCCCAGGAGCAATAAAGGCGAGAAGGCAGTCATAAAACTGCAGTAATCAAATGTGAAAAGAACAGCCCAATTCATTAATACCCAGACAAGCTGATAGAGACATTCTTAATTATCAAATATTACCATGGAGTTCATTTTTACCTGAGTTGTTTAAGCCTGACCATCCTCCTTCCCTTTTCTTAGACACGTTGCCCTGGGGCAGCATTGAACATTTGTAATTAGATTCCTTCAATGGAGTTAATTATGAAGTGACAATAAAGCCTGAATGGTTCCCATTTTCATAAGTATTATCTGGAAGTAAAAACAAATCCTTTGTTTTGGTATCAATATTTGTAATTTTAAGTCTGACATGAACCTCAGGGTGGACTCTTGATACAAACAGATACAGACACATTCCTGTTGTATTATGCTGTACTTCTACTTTATATTGTATTATAATACTTTCACATTCTTTTATATAAACTTGCCTGCATAAACCTATCTATATACTGAAGCAGAAACAAGATTTCTCTTTGGGATGATCTCTCAATTAATTAATGAGTTTTCATCAAGTTGGTATCAGATTGTAGCAACGTCAATACTTTGCAGGTTCCAGGTTGACCTGGCACCTGGGGTAATTTGTTTTAAATTTTATTACTATTACTATTAAAGTTTAATTACATTTTAAATCTTATAACCCCAGCAGGTCCAGAGTGTCCCATGGAACGAGTCTGGATTCAAGAGGAGGGGACTTAATGTGGTTATTAATGATGTGCTCCATTTTAAACAATGAAGTGTCCATCAACATGAAGTTAAATTTCCATTACAAATGAGTTAGCCACTTAAATATAACAAGACCCTGCATAAATAAAGGGCATGAGATTTTTGTGGCCATTATTGCCAGTTTAAGATCACTGTCTGATTTCATACAATTATTTGTCACCCTCTAGCTAAGCAATAACAGAAGGGAAAAGATGCTGAAACTTAAACAGGTCAAAATTAATGCCACGACTGTATTTGATAATTGAAAGTGTCACCTCCATTAGCTCACTCTAGTAACCAGGCTGGAAAAGCCAGCACCAGGAATGTCCAAAATCTCCACAATTTCCAGAGTGACAGTGATTAAGTAACAGGGCAATCCCAGATGGTGAAATAATTCCCAATTCAGGAGGTGAAATAAAAGCTGGTCAAGAGGATGCTGAGGGTTCAAAATGGGGGGGGTGAGGGGAAAATCAAGACTATTTTGCTGCTGTTTCAGAGGGAAAATCTGCCCCAGGCAGCCCACAGAGCAGAGACAGCCCAGCTCAGTGCTGGAACATTGGGAGTGTTTGCTGAGATCCAGGAATTCCCCCTGGAAGATCCAAACCTGCTGTTCTCCTGATGCCTTTCACGGACACAGGAAATGAGAGAGGGATCTAAGCCATCTGCATTTTATCTAACCTTTATTAAGCATCACTTGACCTTGTCAGTACTGATAAAGCCCTGTGAAGTGCATGCCAGATAAAATGTAATTTTTAATTGAGTATCCTTATTACATCTATTAACAAGGTGCAGATGAATACAAATGACCCCACGGTCGATGCTGTCGATTCACGTTGAGGTTTCTTTTGCCTTTGCTGAGCTGAAGGAGTCAATAACCTCTCAAAGGGTGCACAGGGAGGGGAGATGTTTCCTGGCAGCAGCTGTCCTGCCTCCAGTGTCTATCCTACACAATAGCCACGAGTAAACCAGCTCAGGGATCAGCATCTCCAGGGATCTCCTGTAAAACACCACACCCGTCTTCTCCGGCCCTAAGGAAAGCCCCTGGAACCTCAGACCAGTTCCTATTTTAGTCTTGGTATAAATTTATACTAACCCAAGGCACAGGTGAAAAACAGTCTCCTCTCTTATTCCCTAACTCACAAATCATGTGAAAATCCACTCAGTTTTGGGTGGTCACAGGCAGCTCCAGCACTGGAATGGTTACAGGACTTCCAGCAATTCCAACCCATGGGATTGATCTGCAGAGGTTAAAATCCAGAGGTTTCAATGGGGAGATGGCAGGATGCGGCCAAACTGCTCCCCTAAAAGGTTCATGTCAAGATTTGCTCTCAATTTGAGGGAAATAAGAATAAATGACCTGCCTGAGGAGGAAACTGCTGCACTGACATGATATATTTGCATTAGCTTCAAATGGGAGCAGCTTCCCATCAACCCATCAGCTCCACACTCAAACAAGCGGATTCAGTGTCAAATGTCTATAAAAACTACATCTTGGGGCTGCACTGAACTCCCTGCTGTGATCCACAGTGTGCCAGGCCTTCCCCTTCTGGGTTAGATTTATCCACTTTAGTACCTAATTTAGAAAGGAAAAAAAAAACCAACCAACCCTAAGTTCCTTGAGAAAAAGCAGTGAGACTTCTTGTTCCATATCCACATGTTTCTCCTTTAATGCTTCCTTAAGGGTCTCCATTTTTCTGTCACTTATCATCATCCAGAGTAATTTTGGGCTGTTAGAGAAAGTTCATTGCTGTAATTGCAACCATATTGGTCATTAAAGTTGACAGACAGCTGCTGGAGAAGTCACTTGCGGATTTCTGCTACTCAGCAGATGCCTCTCAGCGTTTGCTGAAGTGTTGGCTTGGATTTATGAACTGGAAGCAAATGCATTTCACCTTAAGGACTGATAATTTCAAAGAGAGGAGAACATGAAGAACTCATCCAGGTCTTTTGTTTGTCAACAGGGTTTGTCTGCTCCTGCTCTAACTAGAGTGGAAGTATCCAGTGTTTCCTCAGGTTCCTAAGGCTGCTGTTGTGCCCACTCCTGCCTGAAAGGATTGGGGACCCCCATCCAGCCCAGTTTCACTAGACAGGGATTATTTCCAGATGCTCCATCCCTGGAAGTGTCCAAGGCCAGGTTGGACGGGGCTTGGAGCAACCTGGGCTAGTGGAAGGTGTCCCTGCACCCAAAGAAGAGCTTTAAGATCTCTTCCAACCCAAACCCTTCTGTGATTTCCACTTACCCATTTCTTGCTGGTGGCATTCAGTAAGTAAATATTCCTCACTTTACACACCACATGTTAGAAAATAAGGACCCACTCAGGAGGGCTTTTTTAACCAGTAAACTTTATTTATATATAACAACAGTACAAAGTGAGTCCTTGGCTTGCAAAATAGGAGTGTTTCATATTTACAATAGGTACACAATAATATATTAGAATAATAACAAAACCCCCTTTTTTTTTCTCCTTGGAACATTTTTAAATACTTAAACTTTCTTACATTTTTTTTTCCACAACACTTGTAAAAACAACAAAAAACAGACAATCATCTTAAAAAAAAATATAATACAGAACTCCAGTGTGTCAAGTATAATGGGGAGGGGAGGAGCCAGAGAACGATACAGTGGAATGGGTACGGATCCAAACCAATTCCTTACTCCTGCCAATACACAAATCCCCCCAAACTGTGTTGGTTTTAAAGAGGGGAAGGGGGCAGAAGAAATCAGAATCTGTTCCATGGCTGATACCTCTACATTCTGTGATGGTTTTGGGGACTCCAGAAGCTTTAGTACCTGTACATTCCCTTCCCCTTCCTGCTTCCCACCGTAACAGCCCCCAAGGTGCCATTAACACCAAAACACTCATCAATAAGAGAAGGACATTTTACTGCATTATCTTCTGAAGCCATGAAATAACGTGGCAAAATCAGCTCATTTACCTTCCAAAGTCTCCTGTTCCAGGTGCACCTTTGTGTCCATGGGGTGGAAACACCGGATGGAGAAGCTGTTGCATAAACTTCCAAGCTTATTCGAAATAGAGGTATTGAAAAAAAAATCTCAAAGGAAAGGCCATACAGGAGATCTCATGTTTGATTTGGCAGCCTCAGGAGGCCCAGAGAGTTTGGGATATTGTCCATGCAGTTGGATGGACCCTGCAGGTCTTTTTGAGCGTGTTCTTCGGCGCTACAGGAACGTCTATGTTTTTCGGGATTATATTCCACTTTTACAAAGAAAGGAGAGGAATGGGTAACATGGGGGCAAAGGGGGATCTGAAAGAACAAGCACACAGACACTGCCGTGCTCACAGCACGGCCAGAACACCTTCAGTTGAGCTGCTCCTGGTGCCACCCCAGCAATGTGGGCACGGACACCCAGATGGGACTGGAGTGGCTTTTCCAGCAAGGGAGCAGTTGGGCTCTGCCATCCCACACTGCCCCGCTCCTTCACCTCCCCATCTCCCACCCTGGCATGGCCCCAGCACCCAAAGCACCCTGGGGTGCAGGACATGCACCACAGACCCCCCAGTTTTCTTCCAGGAGCCAGGAAGGCACCAGGTACCACCCGCAGCTGGGACTCAGGCCTCTGTGCCATGCCCATGGAGCACTGCCTGAAGCTGGGGGTTTTCAGGGAGAACAGAGGCTTTGCACAACCAAAATCAGTCTGAAGGCTCCCATCCTCCTCCCCTGCAAAACTAATCCAACCAACCTCCCCTGACCCTGCACACGGAGGGTTGCTCAGCTCAGCAGAGCCCGAACGGCACCTTCGCAGCGCACACGGGGCATCTTCCACTCCAGTTATTTTCGTTAATAAAACCAAGCCCTCCTGGCCACGCAGGTGTGGGGTGGCCTCAGAGCTGTCAGCAGTGCTCTGCCTGCAGCCTCTGCCCCGCTGCTCTCAGTGGTGCTGGGTGAAGGCTGGGGTGGTTGTGGGTGTTTTCACCAAAGACACATTCGGGACAGATGGGACTGTGCTCCGAGCTCCACCTCACACACAACTATGTACAATGTCACAGCTCCCTGCACCACTGGCTTGCGATTTATGGTACAAATGTGACTCTGAAATACAATGGCTGAAGCTCTGTGGCGTTTTAATGCATCTTTGATGCCAGTTATTTACCCTTCTCTGAACATTTTTTCTTCTCTCCAGGGTACAGTCACACGTGAGCTCTCCCCGATGGCCCAGCTTTTTCAAGTCAGTCTATTTTAGTTCCATTTAGTTGGGCCAGCTGAGTCCCCATGACAGGTGAGCTCTGACAGCACAGGAAACTGGATGCAGAAGAGCCAGTGACAGGCGAGAACGTGGCTGGGCTGCTGCCAGGGAATGGGCTCGAGGCACAGGAGCATCACAGGGAGCTGCTCTGCCCTTTGCCAAGCTGGGTGAGGGCTGCAGCAGGCAGGTCAGTGTTCCTCATACCCACTGGCTGCTTGGGACTTCTGGAGATAAGACCTTGTGCCCACTGGAGGAGGGGAGTGCTCCCACCCTTTCCACACAGGCTCAAACGACTCACCATGAGGGGCTGGGAGTCAGCATCGTTCACAAACTGCAGCCCCGGAGCTTTAAGTGCTCTTGCTTTCGTCCTCCATGTGCCCACCCGAGTTGTTTCCTACATTATGACATTTTTGGTGAAGTCCAGTTGAAGGCAGGAGAGAGAACTTACGTGGGGATGGGCCATCAAGGATTTTAAGACAGTGTGTTGAAGGCACTGCTGTGATGAAGGTCTCTGTTGCCACCGTGTCAGGTGGCTGCACTCACCATCCTCAGAGTGTCACAGCACCGAGACCTGCAGGAAGGCATCATGTCCAGCACGGCCACATCCAGCCTCCTTCAGGGATACACACATGGAATGCTGCTGGGATTCTCCCCACCAGCAGTGAGGCCGTGGCAGCAGTTTTGTTTCTCAGCGCTGGTCCTCAGGGTGGGTCCTCACGCAGCTGCAGGCTGGTCCATGCTGGATCTCACAGGGTTTCCAGTGCTCTGGCCGTGCTGATCCCTCCTGCCTCCCTTTACACATAAATTCATCCTTTATGGCAAAGTGTGGACCACTTGATGTCCACATCCTCCGTGTCCCGGTGGGCTGCAGCGCTCCGCAGCGGGGCTCATGCCGAGACAAGCTCGCCTATAAGTTGCACTCCTGTATATGGGGTTTTTAATAAAGGCTTTCAAGGTGGAGAAGCGTTTGATTAGCACCTCGCTCCCCCTCGGAGTGGGTGCTTTGATAGCTCATGAGCAGAAGATTAAATGGAATTATTTAAGCGGCGACACCAGGCAGAGAGATTCCGGAAAAAATGACGTCTCCCACTTTGATGTCGGAATACCTGAAACGAAGTGAACTGGAGACTCTGAACACCAACCGACCTTGCAGGAGGAAGGGGGCAACGAGAGGGATGTGAAATCATTTCATCTAAGGCAACTGCCCCCTCCTGACCAAACCTCGAGTCCAGTTTGCTGCAAGTGCAAAGAAAATGCTATTTTGAGATCTGAAGCTTCCTCTTCCCAAAGGAGTAATGGAAATGACGGATGCAAACAGGGCAATAGATTACAAGTGCTTTGCCCCAAGGGGATATGTTGCTTCATTCCATATAATTGCCTGTAAAGATCCATAATTAATGCCAACCACCACGAGTAGATACTTGGCAGGTTATTTCTAGGCCACCCTTCCAGCCAGCACTGTGCTGTTCCCTCTGCTGTCCTCCCAATGCTTTTCCAGGTGATGGGAGTGGAGATATTTTTTCTGCTTCCCTCAGAATTCAGTCAAAAGTACAAGAACTTACTGGTTTGTAAAGTGCTCCTGCTGCTCACTCTTTTCTCCTCTGCTCAAATTTTCCCCATAGCAAGGAAGATCAACTCAGTTGTCCCCTTCTCTCCTTAGTGCTCTCCCAGAGAATCCAGGGGATGTTTGGGGGCCCTCCACCTCTGCTGAGAAAATACAGGGGAGCGGGGAATGACAAAACCTTGGCTTGTGGGGTGCTCCTGGCCAGAAGGTAGAGAGCAGGAGGAGGAAAGCAAGCTTAAAATGGGTATGCAAAAGCCTCTCAAAGAGATGTAGAGAAGAGGACCACGAAGGCTGGCTTGGCAGGCACACAGTCCCCAGACCCAGGTGATGCAAAGCCAGGCCTCTGCTTTGGGCAGTACTCATATTTTGTGAATCCTGCAGAGATAACTCTTCAGACTGTGTTTGGAAACTGTTTGGGAACTATTTGGAGTTGCTCTCTTTGGGTTTCAGAGTACCATGAGAATTTGGTGAATGATCTGAGTACAAATACCCAAAACAACCATCACAGCTAGAACACAGACCTGGAAATCCCTCAGCTGAGCTGTGTGATGGATCCCAGGGAGCAGCAGGAATAGAACCAGCAAAAAACCCCAGGATTTCAAAGCCTGACCCTCTGCAATGTCCTGTGAGACCCACAGCAAAGAGCAGGCCAGGCTGGTGGATGCTCCAACGCCATCCCTGGCACTGGGCTCTGTGATGCCCAACAGGACAACCCAGACATTTGCACATTTTCTGCCTTTGACATTAGATTCACTGTGCAGGAGCAGGATCCCTGGGAAGGGAACTCCCCAGTAACAGGCAGTATGAATCCTGCTCTGCCTGGCAGTCTCTGTTTCTGATGCTCTCTCCATGTCTCAGTAAATCCAGTGCTCAGGCCGTTGTAAATGTCAAGAAGTTATTGCACAAAGTCAATCACTGTCATCAGTATTTTCTTCCAGAATATTAACAGGGCCCAGAGAAACTCACAGAAGTGGATTGCCAAAAGAAAGCAGGCTTGGCATGGCTTTTACTGAACGCTAATTAAACCAACAGGTTTCCTGAGTATTTCTCTGCACGCTCTTCTCCCCTCTCCTGTTGCTGAACTGCAAGAGACAGAAAACCAGCAGCTCTCTGGTGCCCAGGGAGCCCGTGGTGACCCCGCTGGGCTCCTCTAGGCAGGAACAGTGGAGGAGGGGGATGGATATGAAAATGGATTTTCCTTCGACACACGCTGGCCGCAAACTAAGCTCCCAGTCTGGTGTGGCCCTGCCCGGGCAGGCTGAGCAGATGCCAGGAGCTGTTTTGGTGCCACTGCCAAGCTCATGCAGTCAATACTTGTATTTCCATTAGACCTCATCACCCTGTCCTCCCCGCTGCAGCCTGCACACATATCAGTATTTACTACAGAGAGAAATATTTACAGCGTTCCTTCCCCTCCTGGCACTCTACAAAGGGACACACATAAGCTTTGGTGTCTTTGAAAGTAATAACACTCACAAACATTTGCCTGTCACTGGCCACAAGAACACGTGCTGGGGGGGCCAGCAAGGGACTGAAGAGAACAATGAGACGCCGAGACAGAGACACGACAGCAGCACTGGCTGGCCTGCGGGTGCTGGTTAAGGTTTGTCCTTGCCTAGAGCAGAGATTTCTTTCCCCTTTCCAGTGGAAATACAAGTCCTGACCCTGGGCAGCATGGCAGAGAAACCCAAAGGGAGCCTGTGCCAACTGGCTCTGCGTGGCAAAGAGAAGAGCAACAAATGTCTCCTCTTGTGATGTCCAGGCTTTTCAAGTATCACCCACTGTAAACATCGGGGCTTTGTTGGGTTTTACTGCAAGAAATGGGAGGTGGCTGCAAGAAACCCCCCAAAATCAACCCTGGAGGTGTCATCCCAGCTCTGCCCAGATGGGGTGAGGGCAGGAGGCCAGCTGGGCTCATGTGGGACCAGCAATGGGATACTGGATGGGTCACTGCTGGATCACCTCAGCCATGCTGGACACTGCCAGATCACTGCTGGATCATCACAGTCATGCCAGGCACTGAGCCCATCACTGCTGGATCACCGCAACCACTGCGAGGTGGAATGGGGTAGAAATGGGAAAAAGTATTTAAATTCCGATCTTTCCTCCTTCGACAGCAAATGGGATTTAAAAAAAATATATATATATTGACACTATATAAATACATCGATAAAGCTGGACTTCAGGACAGGTCGGATGATCTGATGGTTTTGCAATTCAGGTAAAGTTCCTTCTAGTGCCTATAAGTTACTCAGCCACTGAACTATTTTCAGGCTAAACCGCTATTTCACTTCGTGGAGAAAGGTGTGGTGCAAACTTGTGCTCATGTTGTTTTATAAGATCCCAAAAAGAAGACGATTTCGGTTTTCCAGATGTTCCAACTGGTGTGAGAGTCCGTTCGCAGAATGTCTGAGCCGCGTCCTCAGGAGGCTCTCGAGGACAGGATTCAGAGCTGATCCTTGTTGCCAGGATTATTTCTATGGCCTCTGTGGTTTTTGCTCCTTTTTTTTTTTTTTTTGTACTTTTTTCTCCTTTTCTTAAAAAAAAAAAAAAAAGGCCTTTAAATAAAGTTTTATTTTCTAATATACATCAAACAATTTTCATGCAAAGCAGCAGTCATGGAGACATCCAGGTTCCTTCTTTCCATGTATGCTCGAAAAAATGATCCACCTTGATCAGACTTGGATTGAGATGTTTTATCTTCTTCTCTTCCTGCCTTTCAAACCGGTTCCTACATGATTTTTGAATGCAGTCAGTCCTTGGGCCAGTCTCTGTTCGCTCCAGAAGAGCCTTGGTATTTGTGTCCAGCGCCTTCCTTGCTTGTTCTCCCTCTAAATTCCCGAGAGTCCATGTGATCCTCTGCCCTTTGCCAGCCTTGAGCACCACGACCTTTCTTCAGCTCTCAATAGACATGGCCCCAATAAGTTGCTCTACTTTGTAAGCCAGCCGCTGTCTACGTGCCTGTTCATCCTGCTCCAGAGCCCCGATGAGCTGGGGGAGAGAAAATAAAACGGAGGGGGGGGAGAAAAAAAGAAACAGAGAAAGAAGTCAGTGTATGAGAGAGGGGGGTGGAGGAGCTGGGTGGGCAGCGAGATGTGACCAACTTGAAATGGGGAGGTGAGAAACTCAAATAAACGGCGAAGCAACGTGCCCAGCGCTTCGCCGTCGCTTTGTTGGACCGCTCAATACCCGCACAACAAAATCATTCTGACCCTCCCCTGTACCTTGGACTCCAACACTTCTTGTCTCGTTTAGCACGGAACTGATGAGATTTTTTTTAAACCCTTTAATCGGAAAATAGCCGCGGCGCTGTGTGGCAAACGCGTACACGCAATTAAATGACAAAACCCTCCCTTTTAACGGACGTAATTGCAAAATAAGGTTCTTCTCGCAGCGAAATGAAGGGGTGGAACAGATGGCAAGAACTTGGTTTCAAGTGATGCATTCATTAAAGGAGCTCACGCTGCCAGGGTGTCTTTGCAAACAGGAGTCTGCGTCACCGCAACGTGGGATTTGGACCGTGCTCTTCCCAAAAGACAGGGATGTTTCTGGGGACCTTCAGTGGGTCATGATGATTTTCCACTGCATTAAGGAGCAGGCTGCACCGGGTGCATGCCAAGGCTGAGGAATCCAGGTGCTCCCACAATATTTTAGCTCTTAATCCTCCTGGGATTGTGCTGCAGGACCCAAACCTCTTTGTGCACGAAGAGAACAGCAGGACAGCAGCGCTGCCAGCTACGGCCACGCTGCACCAAGGGCAAGGGGAGCTCTGGGTGGCAGCAGGAGGGATCACTGCACAACCCACCACTGCACTGAAGTGCATCTGGTCTGTCACACACACGCCGTGGGACAGCATCACCCCAGGGGACACCATGGCCCCAGGGAACACCATTGCCCAGGGGACACCATCACCCCGGGGGACACCATCACTCCAGGGAACACCATTCCCCCAGGGGACACCATTGCCCAGGGGACACCATCACTCCAGGGAACACCATTCCCCCAGGGGACACCATTGCCCAGGAGACACCATCACTCCAGGGAACACCATTACCCCAGGGGACACCATCACTCCAGGGGACACCATAGTCCAGGGAGCACCACTGCTCAGAGAACACCACCACCCCAGGGGATACCTTTCCCCACGTGACACCATTGCCCAGGGGATACCATCACTCCAGGGAACACCATTTGCCCAGGGAACACCATTTGCCCAGGGAACACCATTTGCCCAGGGGACACCACTGCCCCGAGGGACACCCAGGGGACATCACTGCCCAGGGCACACCCACCTCTTCGCTGTACTTGCTGACATAGGAGTAGATCTCGTTGAGGGCACTCAGCATGTTGAACTCCACGGCGTGCAGGCGCGACTGCTCGGCGAGGTAGGCGTTCATGTCCTGGTCGCTGATGGCGGGGAGCTTGGCGATGTCGGCGTAATACCTGCGGGAAGGAGAGGCCAGGGGAGGGCACGTGAAACACGGTGGCTTGAAATGCTCCTTTTCCCCTTGGGATTTAAACTGAGCTCTGCGGGGAAAAGAACATCATTTCGCTTCATGTTTGAGTCTAGAAAACAGGATTGTGGTCTGTAACAAGCTGAAAATAAGAGCAGCGATGCTCGACGGGGCTGCAATCATCGATGATCCCTGTGAGTCCCTTCCAGCTGTTCTATATCCACTTCCCAACATTCTATTCTGTGATCACCGGCCATGGGAGGTTGGGCAGGAGCAGAGCACCCCCCGCCCACACTGCTGCCCACCTCTCCACCCAGCTCTTGTAGCTGGGGATGTCCTTGGCGTACAGCAGCTTGTTGGAGGGGGAGTCCTTGCCCAGGCGGTGCTCCGAGGTGGAGCAGGAATCCATGAAGGTCTGAGCCACGACGGAGAGGCAGGCGTCCGTGATGCTGCCCTTGTGGATGTCGAACACGAACTGGGGGTTTTTGATTACGTTCACCCAGAATCGGAGGGGGAGGCTGGAGGGCAAGCGAGAAACAAAATTAGATGTGAAGACAAAGGCTGGGAAAGGGCACATGCTGAAGAATAAGAATAGAAGAATTTGAACAGGAGCTGGGCCAGGGGCATGAAGCACCAGTTAGACCAGTGCTGCCCAGATTGCTGGTGATGGATCCTGCCATGCCTGTGCTGGGCACTGCTGCCCTGGGAGTCGCCCCGGGCTCTGATCCCGCACAGTGGAGGAGGTATGGGGCAGGAGGGTAGGCTGGCTGTGCCAGGGCAGAGCTGGGCAGTGTTTGGGGGTTCTGGGGGAGCATCTCTGTGAGAGGCCCATTAAGCTGAGCTGGTTAGAGCGGGTGGATGTGGTGTGGGGTGAGCCCGGGGCAGTCACCCCCACACTAATCAGCCGCTGCCCGGCCACGCCGCGGCCCATCATCCGCAGGAGGTGCAGCAGCATCAGAGGCTTTGTCCCCAAATCCCGAGGCCTTTGCAATCAAAGGGGAATTATTATTCCTTTTTTTCTTCAGCTGTATAGCAGGATCAAAAAAACAGCTGCTGCTTTCTATTACCTTTCAAGTCTCAGCTCCCTCTGTCTCCCCAGCTTGCTGAAGGCTGCAGCCTTAACTCTTGCTGTACTGCAGGTGAGCGGCTCAGCCACATCCCCAGTACACCCAGCTCCCTCTTCCAAGCCTCCATTTGCTTTGACCTGCTCCAGTGGCACAAGCCCGCTCCCATCTCCCCACCAAAATTCCCTTCCCGGGAATGCTGCAGCTCAGCCGAGCCCACCATGTCCCGGGGAGAAGGAAGGGCCAGGGCTCCTGGGGTGTGATGCCTCTGGCAGGCCAAACTCTGGTGGTCACTGTTTCCTTTTTTTATTGCTTTAAGAGGTCTCATAATTTCTTGTTGATTCCACAATTTTTACCCCAATAACTCCTTCTTCTAAGGCTTTCAAGGAATTGTTTTGAGCTTCCCACAGCCTTAGTGGGGAACCCGGCTTTTGCAGCCACGATGATTAGAGGTCTTTTAAGCCACGAGAGACTCAGGGGGGAAATACAAAGTCTTTAGGAAGCAACTATTTGTTGTGCTTTTTTTCCTTCCTCGCAGAGGTAAATTTACAACCCATGGAGCCTTTAATCCTAAAATAACAGCAGAGGCAGAGATGTGAGAGCTGTTATTGTTTGGAGAAGGCCGATGGCACATGGGGCTGGCTCCTTCCCCCCGTGCCACCTCCTCCTGATGCCCAAATGCTCCAGCTGCTGCCTGAAGTGATGCAAAAGGTGCAGCCACTGGCTGAGCTCCCCCCTCCCACAGCAGGGTTGTGCAGGCAGGGTGGTGTGGGCATGGAGCCCTGCCTCCCACTCACAGACTGGCTCTTTCCAAAGTGTGGGAATCAGAGGCTGGTTCCAGCTTCCACTTGGGCAGAGGACTCAGAGCACGTGCCGCGGTACACGGTGCTGAACACAAGCACTCAGGCTTGTGCTTTAATACCCTTCCCTTCCAAATCAGGATGTTCTATGATTCTGTGATTCCATGAACACCACACTGGCAGCCCAACCCAGGATCAAACCCCACTGCCACATCCACCGAGGCAGCATCAGTGCTGGCTGAAAAGCATCTGCATGGCTTTGTGGCACATCTCATGCTCTGAAGCTGCATGGCTCCACAGAATCACAGAATCAGCCAGGTTGGAAAAGACCTCTGAGATCATCGAGTCCAACCTTTGACCCAACACCACCTTGTCTACTAGACCATGGCACTGAGTGCCACATCCAGTCTCTTTTTAAATCTCTCCAGGGATGGTGACCGCTACTTCCCTGGGCAGCCCATTCCAACGCCCAATCACTCTGTAAAGAACTTCTTCCTAATGTCCAACCTAAACCTTTCCTGGCGCAGTTTACGACTGTGCCCTCTTGCCCAACTTGGTGCTCCCCAGCCTTCCCAAAGCAATTCCCCACCTCTGTTCCACCCTAGGACACAGCCAATTGCTCAACACTCGGACCTGCCTCCCCCTCTTACCAATTGCTCTTCCACGTGTGCCTCACATCCGTGTCGTGGATGCCGTGCTTGTCCGCCTGCTCATCCAGGAAATCGAACATGTACTTGATGGCGAGCGGGAGCGCGCTGCCGCGGTGCACGGTGCTGAACAGCGTCTCGAACAAGTCGTCCACGAACTTCTGCAGCGTTCCCTAGAGGCAGCAGCAACCCAGGGGGGTGAGGGGAGGGACGGGCACACGCTTGGCCAAGCAGCCAGATGTTACCAGCCCCTCAAAGTGCTGCCATGGACCCCATAGGAATAACGAGGTCGGGGTCTTCCCGAGCGCTGACTGCTCTGGAGGATCCCCAGGGAAAGCTCTGGCCTGCAGCTACTCAGAGTTGAATTTGCTCTTTATTTCTAACCTGAAACCATTTTTTTTCTGGCTTTCCAAAGCACATCTGTGTTATCCACGGTGATGAACGTGGGAGGAGAGACAGGAAAACTCTCTCCGGTCAAGGAAACCGGGTAAATATTTGCAGGCACTGCTGCAAATTAAAACACTCTTTGTGTTTTAATAGTGTGCAAAAGAATGAAGAATTGCAGCAACAGCCTTGAGTGTGGGGAAATCTGGGCTGTGGTTCTGTTGCTGCTCCAGCACCCACCTGGTCCCAGGAAAACCCAGCAGGGACAGACCTCCTGGGAGCTGAGCATCATCAGGGGCTGCACAGGACCCCCGAGAAGTGTCTGTGGATGAACCTCACTGTGCGTTTCCCACGCGAATTCAGCGCACGGGAGTTACCTTTGTGGCCAACAGCCTGGTCAGGTAGATCTCAGACACCATCTTACTGCCCCTGTCTCCCTCCTTCTGGTCTCCATGGTCGTGGTTTTTGACCAGGTGCCAGACCTTGACCCCGCTCTCCAGGTCGGGGGTGATCATGGGGGCCCGGGAGCGCAGGCTGTCGGGGCTGCCGGTGTAGCGGAAGGTGGAGTCTGGATGATGGGGAGAGAAGTTGGTCACACTCAAAGCAAACCCTTTTTCCACTCCCCTGTCTCTTCTCAGTGACACCACCACGTTTGCTAACGCCCAAACCACCTGCACTGGCTTTTTTATGGGGTGATGAAATATAAAACCACCCAGGCACCAACAAAATGTTGATATGTGTTGGTCTCCACTGAATAGAGTCCCTCAGACTTGGGCTTTTCTCTGTTCACACTCAGACATGGACTTTCCTGCTCCATTCACATCCTTATGTGAACTCATCATACAGGCCCACACAAGATTTGTCCATGAGCTCACACACGTTAACCCCGGGCACCGACTCCTGCAGCGCCAGAGTCTTGTGTTTTGTCCAGTATTCTGCAAATAATAAAACCCTGCCCAGCACAATGAGTACAAAAGGCAGAAGAAACTGCTGGTCTTGTCCTTGAGGCTTTCAGGAGAGCAGCAAGGGCTCAAGCTGAGCATCAACTGCAGAGCCCAAGGCCAGTCCTGCACCCCAGCCGTGCCATCCGTGGGCTGAACGGGTCCAGCCTCCTGCTGTCCTTCCTGCCCTGAAGGGAAAGGGGAGCTCAACAGGAGGCAGACAGACAACAGTCTTTCCCTTAATTGCTCAGGAACCATGGAGGGATGTGACATATATTTATTTACGTATTTAACTTCCCAAAGAATGTGCCTCCCTGGATCCCATCCATGGTGTCTCCAAGCTGAGACACGAGGCTGAGGAGCCCGGCTGTGCCTCGCTGGATTTTTTCCTCTCACTAAATTTCTTTGTTCTCTGGAAACCTTGTGGATTTTCTCAAGTTTAGCCTTGAATTCACTGCTCAACCTCCTAGTCAAGAGTACGGGGATCAATCATAAATCAGCCAAGGGAAATACTTGAGTCATTACCAAACTAGCTGGATTTTCATCCCTGATTAAGGCTTAGATAAATGAGTACTCCAACTGATATAATTAAGGAGACAGACAAAGGGACAGCTAGGAAAGCATCTAGTAATTCTATTTTTAAACACAGCTCCGTACTGATATATAACAGGGGAAGTAAATAAGTATCTAATTTAAATTCTGTCAGCACAATTAGAAATATTAATCTTAACATGAGCAATGATCGCTCACATTGGTAGTTTGCAAAAGCTTTGCCAGCTGACATAGATCAATGAGCTGTAAGGACTCAGGTTGTGTGACCCAGCCTTGGTTTTTCCATCACCTGAAGCGTGGGATGTGCTGGACATTTGGGGGATCTACACCACGCAGGGAGAAATGCCTTTTCTCCTGGATTTTACCTAAGGACCAGCCTATTTCTGGCTCCTCAGAACCCTTGTTCAAGGAAAAAAACCCCAACATTATTTTGGGAGCCATAAACAAGAGGAGGAGACGGGTTTGTCAGGAGACTTTTCGCTTGTAAAACACTCTGCAAAATGAACGATAATGAAAGATCAGCGCACCAGAGATTTTGCCACTGCTGCCTTTTATGGAAGTATATTATTACTATTATTGTGGATTTAGTGTTATAAACGCACACCTGGCACCTCACAGACTCATTTACTCAGGCTGCAGCATCTTCAGGGACCCTCTGGAATGTGCTGAGCCCTGCTATTATGCAAATCCAGAATTCCCAGGAGGGCACATCCGAGAGCTCTGTGTTAAGATTGCTGTTCCCCATTTTGACCCATTAGCAAAGAACTCAGGATCCTCCACTTAGAGAAGGGAAAGGTGAAGGACTCAGGCTTTTCTGTCATGCAGGGGACACAAAGCTCCTTTCCTGCAGTGGGAGCCCCAGAGGGGCTCTGCATCACCCACCCCCTCTGAGACAAAAGACTTCCCTGGACTTTCCCAGGACCAACATTCCTAAAGGCTACTCATGTGCCTGGCATTCCCTTCTCCCTCCTCTCAGCTTCTCTGGTCTTTTGGCTGTTCTGCTCATAGATGGAAAAGCCTTTGCAAGGAAACACCAACAGCCAAGGACATTTTCCTGTTGGGCACCTGGGTGTTCATTTTGGCTCGTGTAGGGCGGTTTTTCTGGGGCAATCTGCTGCTTTTCCCCCACCTAATTCCTTGCAAAACCCGCCATTTCCCATCCCTTCTTACCGTATCTGCTGATAGATGTCCGGGATATACTGGCAGAGGCAGGAATATTGTAGGAGGAGGTTTGCTTGGGAACGAGAGCCACGACTGAGCGGTCGGACACCTGGGGAGGCAAAGGAGGAGGAGAAGATCAGTGGGATCCACCCTCCACGTTGGGATCACCAGCTGCTGATCCAGCAAATCCTGGGCAGAAGGGTGCCAAGGGTGGGCACAGGGAGCCACCCAGCCCTGGCAGAGCCCCGTGTTGGGTCTGCAGCAGCTCTACAGCCAGAGCCTGAAGGAAAGGGGTGATAAATCAAAGATTTATTTTTTTATTTGAAGATGCTTTTGGTCGTTCTGATTTAAGGTTATGCTTTATCCAATAAAAATGAGAATCTCAAGAATTGTTGTGATCCAATTAAAGTAACAATGCAGAGGGAATAAAAGGGCTGTAATAACGTTATGGGCCATAAAACATTCCTATTAAACCATTTTTTATTTTAGCAATTTTTACGAACTTTAAAAGTTTGATTTACAGCTGAGCAAGTCATAAAGCCATCTTTCAGGGTATTTAATTGTTATCCCTTTATTGCTCCAGAGAAGGAATTAAACACTGGGAAGTCAAACTATAAATGAACATTAGTGCTAACAAGGTTTTGTTACAGCAGATTTTAGTAGCCATGTTTAATTTTATCCTCCCTATAAATCCAGTAGTCACTGGAAGTTTTCTAACTTATTCCCCTTAATTAAGAATCTGCAGGTTTCCAGGGAATGGGCCTGAGTGGCTTTTAATTTTGAACTTGTGACCTGTCGTGCAGCACAGCAAGGAGCAGAGAACAGAGTCACCACAGCCTGCCAGGGCCCAGCCAACACACTTTTTAGAGGACCTGCACAAAAGAAATGCCTCTTCCTGCTGGAGGAATTTCTTTTGGGGCTAAATCCTCCATTATTTGCCAGGAGTCCTGTGAGGGACTCAGCACTGACCCTGTGCACGGGATGCTCCAGGTGTTTTTTGCTTCCCCAGCCTCTCCAGGTGTTTGTACAACACCTGCAGCCACAAGGTGAGCTTCACACAGTGCCCTGTGCTGCCTTTCAAGGCCATTCAGATGAAAGGTTTCATGGAAATGCGAGTTATTATTATTGCTGGTGATAGTGGAAATAATAGTCACTTGTGGTTCACGGCACAAAAGTGAGATATTTCTAAGAAAAAACACTCCAAACACCTCCATTATTTCCTTGTCTGCTCCTGCCTCACTTCATGCAATTTGTTAAGCCAAAGGAAGAAATGATCAGTGCTGATATTATTTTCTTAGGCCGTTCTTAGCTGCCACTCCAGCTCAGTTCCACCAGGGAGAAACCCGAGCCCGGGGTGCTCCCATGGAGGAGCGGCTCCATTTCCACCAGGGCTGTGGTTAACTGGGAGAGAGGCATTAAAAATTCCACACACACACATAAGAGCACTCTCACTCTCTAAATTTTGGGTCGAATGGCTCTTGTCAGCTAAAAAACCACCAGCGTGCAAATTAGCATCAGATGTAACACGCATTCGTTTCCCATCTCGCTCCGCCGCTGCCACACTCCCAGAAAGCCCCAGAGACGCCCCGGGAGCTGGCTGGCTGCTTTACAACTTTATAAATATTCTGATTATTCTACAAGCTGGAAACGTGGTGCACAAAACACCTTAAAGAGAGGAGAAATAAAACCTGGAGCGGGGAGGTGGGGGCCCAGGCTGTGCCTGCGTGGGGCAGCGGGGACGCAGCGAGGATTCCAGCTCTGCCACCCTCGGCTCCAGAGTCTCATTTTCCACACAAATCTTCCCTTTGTCCTTCTAATTTTCCCTTTAAAACAGTTTTTTAGCCTCTTGGCCTCTCCAGACTCGCAGTGGCTGACAGGTATTCATGCTCTGCTGCCTCTGAGTTAACCCTGCGTGAGCCACTGTAAATCATTTAATATTAAATTCAGTGTTTCATTTTTCTTGAGCGAAACCACACGGGGTGAGACTCTCCCATGGAGTTTAATAGCCATGAAGCCAAAAGGATACGACACAAATGTAATATAATTCCTTACCACATACAAAAGCTCCAGAGAATTTAACAAAGAATTACACCTATTTAAGCCATACATCTATTTTTATAAATGAAGAAATAAGCAGCAGGTGTACAATTCACTGCATAATTTTATAAAGTGGTTCAAAAATATTAGAAAGATGAATATTTCTCTTTAAATCCAATTTGGTGTTGTATGCAAAGGCTTCCCGTGAAAAATCCATTTGATCAGTTATTATATTTTCGTCATTCTAATGTAGAAAACAAATGTAATAGTGTCAAATCCAGCGGCCAGGGGTGGAGCTGAGAAACTCTTGGAGTTAAATAACTGCCCTCTGCAGAGCCCTCAGGGCACAGGGAGGAGGAGGGTGGTTTGGAGCCCTGGAGATGCAGGGAATGGGGCTGAGGAGCGAAGGGATCCCAGGAATCAGGAGCAGGGCAGGGCTGGGGGGTCCAGGGGTGTTCTGGTCCCTCCTGCAGCCTCCCAGGTGAGAGCAACTCTCCAAGACACACCTGGATGGAAACATGAGCTGTGCATCTCCAACCTCCACGTGCACACCCAGAGATCTCTTTGCCTTCAGATCAGAATAAAGACAAGACAGCTCTGAATAAAAGATGGGCAGAGCTTTAGAAAGCAAGCTTTCATTTTTTTTCCCCCAGAAATTTAGAAATCATCTTCACAAGTCCTCTGGAAATCTCCATATATTTTAATGGCTTGAACCACACCTGTTTCATGGGTAACATTCCTGTTAAATGGTGAGACAGCAGCACTTGGAACTCAAATGATTTTATACCCTCTTTAAGCTGTGCCTTTGCCCACGTATTTGTTTTACAGTGTAGTCCTGGAGCATCTGTATTTTTGATGCCTAATAAAAACATTTATTGCTCCAACAGAAAAAAGGAAAGAAACACAACCTGGTAGGAATAGCAAATACATATATATATATATATATTGCTGTTTGTTTTTGGCAAAAGCCTTGCCTTGACAAGATTTCTGCTGGAGTGAAGAGAAGTTGGCTCCTTTTTAATGAGTGAAACAGCTCAGTTGGGCTGTGCAGAGCTCGGGCCAGAGCAGGAAGACACGTGGCATCTACCTGGTTAGATGTTTGGTAGCAAACTTCTCCTTTCTTCCAGAGCACAGCTGACATTCAAATGGCAGGAAGAGCTGCAGCATCTCGAGTGCTTGCAAGGGTTTTGTTTATTTTAAGGGTAAGCTTGTGGCTCAGCTTTTCCCACAGGCACTAAAATGAAAGTGCCTCCTCCCCCAGCATCCACCACACATCAGACAAGCACAGCTTTCACTTGTGACTTCCTCACGATGACTTTTAAAGATCAAGGCATAATAAAGTCTCGCTGCTTCCCTGCATGTTGGTTAATCCCTTGCAACTGTCAGGTAAAACAGATTTTAGGAACAATGGAATTAATCTGCACAACTCCTGTGACATTTTTTGCGGCGATCTGTGTTTAAATCCTGGGGGCTGCTCGCCAAAGTTGACCCTCGAGGTTCTTTTTAACATGCACGGTGCATATTTATGCCATTCTCCTGCCTCGCTCCCTGATTACATGGCTCCTGTCAATACTGGCTCCCATTCAACTCACACAGCGTGAGCCAGGCTGATGGACTGGAGATGGTGTATAAACAGGGAAAGATGCCAGATTAAATACTAAGCACTTCTGGGGAGGGAGTGATGGACAGGAGTAGGTTACGGGTCCCAATTAATGCAGTTATCCTCTGCTGCAGACAGGCTTTGAGGAAAAGCCTTTGATTCCCTGAAACCAAACCTTCCTCAGCCCCCTCTTTACCTCTTTCACAGTGCAAGGAGCCCTTTCCAACAGGCACTGCCTTGCCCAGAAGTTAAAGATGGCAACAATTCCTTAGGCCACCTCACCCACCCTGTCTGATGCAGGACTGAGCATCTTCCCTGCCTGGCTTCACTTTATGTGACTTCAGTGACAAACCTCCTGAAACCTGACTTGGGGATTTAAGAGGTTTGATGTCAAGGAGGAGCTCTTGATATCCCCCTTTTGTTGACCTGGCCTCATCCTGTACCCCACCCAGCACTCCCTCGGCCCTCCTGTGTGACAGCATTTGAAGTATTTGCTCTGTTTCCTTTTTTCCCTCCCCGTAAAATGCCCTAAAGTCAACACACAGGAGGAACATGAGTATGAGAGAGAAGCTGCTGCTACAGCTTGTGCTTTGCATCAGACCAGTGGCGTTTGCAAAGCTCTCAGGGAAGGCAGAGACTCCCCCTCCTCCCCTGCTGCACTCCTGGTTGTCTCAGACCCCCCACCCAACGACCTGAGCCCCCCTTGTCACCCCTTCCCTGGCCCCACATGCCCAGCAGAGGCAGCTCAGCCCTCACCACTGCTCCCTCTGTCTCCCTGCCACGGCTGGCAGGTTTAATTTAGCCAATTTTCAACCCTGCTGGTTCCTTTGAGATCCATGTCAAGGTTACTTTCCCACCTAATGCAGAAGCACATTGAACCCTTCTGGTTTATCACACAAACGTGACCTCCCTGTCTGTCTTGGCAGACGAGACGCTTGGGAATCAACGTCCTGCTTTTCTTTCCTTCCTCCTGGCAGCTTTCTGGGAGCTGCTTTCTGTCAGCTGGGGGCTGCTTCCCTACCTGATAGTGCATCAAGGTGTTCAGGCGCTTCCAATCTCCCTCGATCTTGGTGGTGATGTCTTCATCCTGCAGGACCACACGGGCGATCCGGCCCTGCCGCCACTCTGTGGGAGAGGCAAAAACCAGGCACACATCACGGTCAGAGAGGGGCCAGGCTCTGCAAAACCCACCAAGAATCCCCAGTCAGCCTCTCTGATCACCCCCCTCCGATCAGGCAGGGAAGCTCCTACCCAAATCCATGTCCACGGCCCTTGGTCTTTGGGAATACGGGACGTTTTTGTACACGGCATCGAGGATCTTCTCCTTGACTTGGGTGATGGTGTCACAGTTCAGCACCTTCACGGGGATCTCTGGACTGTTCTCATTATCTGGGTTCACACAGTTTAGGATCTGGAAGAGAAGGAGAAACACACCGTGCTCTAAAGGATGAGCACCCAGGAGAAATGTAACCCCGTGTCACAACAGCCTTTTCTCATTAAAAAAAAACACTGCAGCCCTAATTGCTATTGCATCAAGTATATTTATATCATTATTTCTAAGGTAAGAGTCCTGGATGTCCATATTCAATGCCCAAGGGAGATAAAACATTCCCCTCAAACCTGCCTTTCCAAAGGCTTGGCTCAGATTATTTACACCAGAAAATTAGGGATGCACCTCACTTGGACACGGGTCTTTATTGCACTGGCAGCACTCAGGCCTCACAGAAGTGTCCTAATCACAAGGTCAGCAGAGCTCACAGGGGAGGGAGAGCAGTGATTCCCTGGCAGCTCCTCCAGCATCACTCACCAGAGTCTTGTACTCGATCTGCTGCCGGATGAGCTTGTCCTCGCTGAGGGAGTAACGGGCTTCTCCTGTGATGGCATCAATGGGGCCTTTCTCCATCTGCTGCTTGATGGCACAGTAGAGCATGAAGAGTGGCTCTCCAGCACATTCCTGCACGAGAGAGGGACAGCAGAGCTGACACAGAGGTGATGGTGCCTCTCCTCCAGGGCCACTGGCCTGCAGATGGGTTTGGCAAGTGATTCCTCCCAGCAGAGACACGGTCCCACTCACTCCTCAGCACATGTACAACCCAGGTTTGGCCCCCAGCAGTTCCTGGAGAGGACAGCCAACCCCATGAGCTCCACAGCTCCACGGGTTTGTTGTCTTTGGCAGGGTAAACCCCTCCTGAATCTATGTGGCTGTAAAAAAACGGAATTTGATACTTGATCTCGTTGTTCGCTCCCACGAAGCAAATTCTGTGGGGTTTCCAAAACCACAAATTAAGTTAAAAAATATGGAGATGTGAGAATTTCTCCTAAGTACTAAAGAGCTGTAAGAGAAACTCCATGACGTGGGAATAAAACCAGGAGAGCTGAGGGCTCTGAGAAAGGCTGTGACCATGGAGCAGCAGCCCCAGGTGTTGGCACCTCCAACAAATTTCCACCTCCCCTGCCTTGCTGCTGCACCTTTTAACTTGGAGTCTGATGGAAGAGTTTCATGCCCAGATCCTGCCCCCCCAGGGATGGCAGGTGGGTGAGACAGCACAGTGACAGGGTAGGTCTGTGCTCCATCCCTCCTTACCTTGAGGAACTTGTGGAGGAGGAAGGCAAACCAGTTTGTCAGCATCTTCTCAGCCACCGACTCGGTCCTAGGGGGAAACCAGGAGGACACACATTACACCCAAAGCCTGGCACAGCTCCGTGGTGCTCAGGACCAGGATTCCAGAGCAGCAGGATGTGGCCAGCACTGTCCCCCCTCCCTGCACGGAGCTGACAGCAGCTTGCCCAGCTGACAGCCCGTGACAGCCCTGATGGGGCTGGTGACAGGGAGTCTGGTGACACTCAGCTCCCTGCACGTGGTGCAAATTACAGCCTGGCTCAGTAAATCACTGGGATTTGCGGCAGTTCCCGGCAATCAGGGACAGCAGAGTGACAATGGAGGGGAAATTGCAGCTTTTTCCCCAGTCCCACCCAGTGTCCTCTCCCCACATTGTGCCCGAGATTATCTCTAATTTAAATACAATGGCTCCTAATGATAGTTTTTAATGCCGGCTCTGCGGGACCCAGAGACTCTCCTTAAAGCACCGCGGTCCCTTTTCCTGGGACAGGATGGCTGTGGGGGTGGCAGGGAGTCTCACAGTCTCCAACCCATGCAGGGAAGAGCTGCTGTGCTGCAGCCTGGCCAGCTGTGAGCAGGACCCTGGCCAGCCTGGCCCAGCACCACCAGCCTTCCCCTCAGCATCTGACACCAGGATCTGGTCCAAATTCCAGCAAGCAAAGAGGGATGAACCCAATACCCTGCTCTCTGCAGCATCCTTTCCTCTGGGGACTGTGCTCCCTCTGCCCTCACCATGAACCAGGTGACCTCCTCCCTGACCTGGAGACAGTCACCATCCCACTCCACACCCAATTCTTCCCCACTCTTCCCCATCTGCTCTGCTGCCTTGAATTAGGGACTGCCTCTTGCTATGAATCCACACAGCATTCCAAATGCTTGGAATTAAAACCACACACTATAGAAGCACCAGTGCCTGATCCCAAAGCCAAGCAAGATCAAGAATAAAGAGGAGCCTGAGATTTCAGCAGACAACAACTGACACCAGTCGGCCAACGGACCTGGGGTCACATTATCCATCATCTCTTAGGATGGCAACATCTGCCAGGAATTTGTGAAAATGTCTGCAGGTCCCCAAAGAATTTAAGCCTGAATCGATTAACTGCCTAAAAATTCATGCTACAAATTGACACACACGTTGTTCTCCTGTTTGAAATATTTTGGGCACCCAATTAAAGAGGAGAAGCACTAACACACTTCCAAACAGCCACAGAAAAACGGAGAGGCAGTGACACAAACTAAAGAACAGGTGGAAACCTCAGAAAACAGCACATTCGGGACTTGATGGTGAATATTAATTTAATAAACCACTTTGTTAATAGAATATTAAATTAAGAATTAGCAAGTCTCACAATTAGCCCTCCCAGTGAAGCAATGCTGTCCCTGTGGGCTGCTCAGGGCCTGACATCAGCTCCATAAAAATAACTGAAATATGGAGTGACAGAGAAGTTGGGGCATATTGCATGGGAGAAGGGCACTGCATACTCCATGTCTAGCTGTTTCCTTCTATTTCTTTATCAGAAATACATGATCAGCTGAACGGAACAGCATAAAGAAACACCTCGGAGCATCTCTGTCAAATCCCATTTCTCCTTTACCCTCAAGCACTGAATCTCATCTCAACACAGTCTGACGCTGCGAGATATTTGCAGAGCATCAGTCCCAGGGACAGCCAGCAGTTGAGTTAATCATCACTGTCCTGCACTGGCTGGGGAAAGGGGCAGCTCAGAAGCTCCACTGCTGCTGGGAACAGCTTTATAGAGCATTCCTGCATCCTCTGCTTTGGAAAAGGGATGGCTGGGTGAGCCATCCCCCAAACTCTGCCTGCCACCCCAAGGCCTGGCCTCTCCTTCTCTCTGCTACACCTGGAGGGCTCTGTTGAACCCCAGAATCTGCTGCAGGGCTTTGTGCTGCCCCTGGCTGGTGTCGCTCCACACCATCGCAGGTCTCTGAATGCTGGTAGAGATCTGCTCTAAAAATAAAAAATAAGCTCCTGGGGATTAACATGGCAGCAGAGAACCCCTAGACTTGGAGAAAACCCTCCTCACACCAACCACATAACGAAAAGCACAATCCAGAGGTGACCTTCCAAAGGAATCTGATGCCAGCACCCAGCGCCTCGGCCGCTCCGCTGACTTTCTGAGGCACCGGGAAGAAAACAAACCTAAACAAAGCCGAGCTGAGAGAGAACCCAAAAAATAAATATGTATTTTATTAATTTTCCCTGCTCTATCTAGGTCTCCAAACTGCCGTGTGCTCTGCTCAGTGCCAGCAACCAGAGCAGCTGTTTGATTTAACGTCAACTTTCTTGCTGTCTCCCGTGAGGGGCAGTCGTGGAAGAAAGAGAGAGGGGAAAACGAGGAAGAAAGAGGGAAAGAGCTGAGTGTCAGTTATCAACTGCTGCCACCAGAGAGCTCAAAAAATTTTAAAAAGATGTATTTCACTTTGTGGCTGATCACTCCTTATTAAGTCAGAGTAAGACATTCTCTGACTGTTGCTTTGTGCACCAACACCTGGGCGCAGGGCTGGGACAGGGCTCCAGCCATGGATTTAATGGGATCTGGAGTAAAAGGACAAGGGGTAGAGCTTTTAAACTAAAAGGGGGGGGAATCAGACTAGATATAAAGCAGAAATTTTTATGATGAGGGTGGTGAAAGCCTGGCCCAAATTGCCCAGAGGGGTGGTAGATGCCTCATCCCTGGAAAGACCCCCTGTCAAGTTCCCTGTGAAATGGGTAAATCCTGGTGCAGGACAGACAGCCCTGGTTCTTTGCTGGGTAATTCAGGCAGGAGGGGGCCCAGCTCTCATCACCATCCCTGTGTTTTCTGGAGCTCCACGAGCAGTCATTATTGATGGCAGAGGCAGAAGACGCCTTCCCAGCGACTCGTCAAACCACGGGGGAAATTAAGACGGCTTCCCTTCCCCGAGATGAGTTATTGCCTCCGCAAACACAGCCAGATTTAAAGCAATTTCCTGTCAAGTATATTCATTGTGGCTGGAGGAATCCCTGAAATTTTCCTGGAGATGTGAAATCCTCCCCTCCCCTTCATCCCCTCACTCCAGCGAGATTCCAGCAGAGCCCCAGGCACAGCCCATGGGCAGCTGTGGCCAAGCCAGTCTCTGCAGCACAGTCAGGGCCCACAGGGACGTGGGACAGGGTGGCTCATGACATGGAGAACAGGGGGAGCCTTTTACTTGTGGCTGCTCATCTGCCCTACATTAATACACCATTTTTTCCTCTTTTCTTTCTGCCATTTCCCAGCACAGCCTTGGGTGAGTCGCTTAATCCACTCTGGAGCTCTTTGCCCAGCTGTGGAACACAAATGCTGCTCTCCACCCAGAGAGACCTGGAGGATCCAGTCTGGGACCTTCTCAGCCATCTGTGAAATCACAGACAGCTGGAGACAGGTGAGGAAATGTATGGAAGTCCTCCACGGAGAGCTGTGTTTTCTTTCCAACACCAGCACCCTGCACCCACATAGCCCTTGGATCACGGAATCACTGAGGCTGGAAAAGACCTCCAAGACCATTGAGTCCAACCTGTCCCCCAGCCCAGAGCATGGAGCGCCACGTCCATTCAACACCTCCAGGGGTGATGACTCCACCACCTCCCTGGGCACCCCCTTCCAAAGCTCAACAACCCTTTCCACGAAGAAACTCCTTCCAGTGCCCAAAATCCCTTCCGATGCCACCAGCAGCGTGGCTGCGCCAGCCTGGGGGGCTGTCCCTGACCTCACCTGCGCAGGAGCAGCTTGGGATGGTTCTTGTTTTCCAGGTTCTTCTCGATGAGGTCGGAGAGCAGCTGCTTCAGCACGTCCGTGGCGTACTCCAGCTTGCCCTGCAGCCCCGTCATGATGAGCGAGGCCACGTTGCCGCGGTCGCGCATGGAGAAGCTGCGCTGCAGCTCCAGCGTCCGGATGAAGGTCAGCAGGAAGACTTTGTTGTTGATCAGCTGAGCAAAGAGCTTCAAGGCCTTCTCCACGCTCTGCTGCCCGTTCCCTTGGACCTGCAGTGGAGGAGAGCGTGTCCATCAGCGAGGGACGGGAGGACGAGGGGCTGGAGGGCAGCCCTGCATCACCCTGCCAGCACTCTGGGGGTAAACTATGGAATCACAGAATGGCTTGGGTAGGGAGGGACCTTAAAGCTCATCTCATTCCAACTCCCTGCCATGGGCAGGGACACCTTCCACCAGATCAGGCTGCTCCAAGCCCCGTCCAGCCTGGCCTTGAACACTTCCAGGGACAGAGAGTCAGCAATCTCTCTGGGCAACCTCTTCCAGGGCCTCACCACCCTCGTGGGGAACAGTTTCTTCCTAACATCTGATCTAAACCTACTCTCTTTCAGTTTGAACACATTCCCCCCTGTCCTGTCACTCCAGTTCCTGATGCAGAGTCCATCTCCAGCTCCTTCAGATCCTGTAAGGTGCTGTGAGGTCTCCCCACAACCTTCTCTTCTCCAGGCTGAGCAGCCCCAACACTCTCAGCCTGTCTCTGTAGGGCAGGTGCTCCAGTCCCCTTAAGCTTTATGTCCTCCTTATACTGGGAGTAACAGAACTGTACACAGTAATGTCTAACCCTGGGTGCACAAGCCAGCACCCCATCTCCCAGGGTCTGAGCATCCCTGAACACGGTCCCTGGTCCATCCTGAGCAAACATCACCCTTCCTGTCCTCCCTCAGCACAGCTCCCCTCAATCTTTGCTCTGAGCTGCACTCTCTGCACACCATAAAGCTGCTGCTTTGGGGCTAACGGCCCTATAAATGACACACAGTTCTGCTTGTTCTGCACAAAAAGTGACACTCTTGTAAGTAAATTAAATACTAATTTAGGCTATTGCTTTATTATGGGACAAGTGTAAAAAATTAATTGAGGCTTTCAGCCAGTTGCGGATTCAAGTAATTCATTACAAGTGAAAATGATGAACTACATGAAGCAACTCTTTACCAAACATCTTGGAGACTTATGTATTGGTTTTACTAACGTTACATAATTAAGCAACTGTGTAATTGGCAACACATTTATCACTTCTGCAATTCTGTTTTTCACGAGTAAAACAAAAAGCATTCATATTTGTTTGCTAGAGCATCAGCTTAGTTGGCAATTCAAACAGCAAACAGAATGCATGGAGCTGGAAAACTCAGGGCACAGGAATGGGCTGGGAGAAGCTGGTTCTGTTTTATCAACACCACAGTAACTGCTTGGTGCTGGTGGCCCACTGGAATCTAAATGGAGGCATTAGGGCTGCCTGGAAAAGCAGTGCAGCCCTGTGGAGCACGAGCAACCACCACTCCTTCCTCCTACATCCAACCCCTGAGCTGTGGAAGGCAACAGGACTGCAGGATTTACTGGAGCAATCCCAGTCTCTGAGAGGCAGCGCTGAGCCTGGTACCTCTGGGCACCCCGTGGGGAGGATGGCAGTCCTATCCCACGGGAAGGATGGCAGCCCCTTCCTGAGTGGCAGCTGTTTCTCGAAGCACCATCACTTTTTGGGCCCTCTCCCAGGTGAGCAGGGCCCGTCTGCGAGGTCACCTGATGGACCCTTGTACGTTCCCAGTTCTTCTGTACCCTCAGTGAAAATCTTTGATCCGTATTTACACATCCTGGTGGAAAAACCAGGGAGATGGAAGTGCTTGCTCAGAGGCCGGAATGCCTGGGCAGGGCATTCTGCTTGCCCTCCTGTGGACACGCCATGGAACAGCAGCAGGATGCTCCAGGCAGGATGATCCAAGGATGCTCCAGGCACACAGCATTCCCCTGCGCCGTAAGGGGACTAAGGAGGACTTTAAAGCACACCCATAACTTTTCTGACATGCTTCGCTGCTGGCCTAGAGCAATATAAAACCCCATAAAATAAAAATAAAGCAACACCACGGGGGAGAAACCAAAAGGAACCACAGGCAGCGTGGAATGAGATAAAACAGCAGCTCCTGAGCTAAAATGGACTCTGGGCTCACCCCACTGACCTCAGAGCCTCTAATAAGGTTTGCTATGAAGGTATAAAGATGCTTCAGGGTTTCCCACTGGCTTCTCTGAGGAGTCAGGGAAACTTGGAAGGGCTGGAGCTGTTACCTCCAGCTGTTTGTTACCTCCAGCTCCCGCAGGACAGGGTGGTCCTCGATGCCAGGGAAAAGGACTCTCATGGCATAAGTCCGATAGTCCAGGTAGGGGATCCCGGAGCGATCCAGGTCGCTGGTCAACTCATTGATGTCCGTCTGCAGCTCTGCAAAAGCTGTTCAGGGAGAGGAGAACAGGACACAGAGAGGTGAACTCTGGGAGCTGAGGCTTATGGGAGAAGGTTTTGGGGAGGGTTGGCTGCCTGCTCTCCCTGTACCCCATAAATGGGTCAGCTCAGGAGCTGATTCAGAGGAGCCCTGGTCTTGTAGCTCAGGTAGACCCTCACCCTTGGAGGCTCTGTGTCAGCCTGAGAGCAGGAGAGCACACGCTGCACAGAGCAGATGCTGAGAACAAAGATGCTGCTTAATTTGTATGCGGTTCACACCTGTGTGCACACACCTAAAACACCCTGAAAGGCTGCAGAGAGAAATAAGGATCTATTTTCATAACTCGGTGCCTCCCATTCCTTTCTTCTTCTTCCCCTCCTCTATCAACAGTTGCCAAAATAATCAAATCTGATGCAGATCAAATCCAAGCTGCTGCAGGGGTCAGGAAGGAATTTATTCTTCCTCTCATAACATAATATCATGTGTTATACAGCTGTATCTGTCTCCTCATGTTCCCTCTCCAAAGTGTGACATGCTGGCTCAGTGAGGCCTCTGTACCCCAGCTGGGCTGTGCCATGCCAAAGCTGGGTTTCCTCCTCAATATATCTCATTTTTTGCCCCGTGCTTTCAAGGCTATCCTTGAAATCAGCTGAACAAACCCAACGCAATATTCTCTACATACACTGTGAAATGTGCAGCTTTCTATTTATTTTATTTTGATTCACTGAGCCCATTTCCAGGGGGAAGGGAACAACAGCAGCACCCCCAAAAAAACCACCTTCACCTGGGCTTCACCACAGGGGGGACCAGGCTCAGCCACCTCCTTGCAAGGGACGGGATTTGTCCATGTGGAAACTTGCAATCAGCAGGTGTGACTGCTCCAAATGACACACAAAATCTCCCAGAAGCAAAAGCCTGAAGAGCTTTTCCTACCCCTCAGCCCTGTTACTGCTCTGAGCTTATATTTCTAGACTGGAGGAGGGACTGGACCAGCTTTTCAGCCCTCCTGCCTTGCTTTTGGGATACACGGTGTTACTTGGGGGTCTGAACCTCCTCTAAACCCTCTCTCTCTGTGCCTTTTTGAAAGCCCCTCACTAAAAAGCCATCAGACAAGGGGACACGCCGTGCTGGGCACCCCGGGGCTTGTGCCGTGCGATCCACGCGATCCAGGCGTGTCACTTAAGCAGGATCAAGCTCTAATCCTATTCTCTGCACATCAGGGAGCAGAGCCGTGTCTGCTGCTGACACACTTGTGGCTGCCCACCCTCCCAGGGCAGGATAAACTCCACAGGGGCACACCCCCCCCCCCCTACTCCTGGCTGCAAACTCCGGGGGACTGGGAAAACCGGGAACTCCAGCACGGAGCCGCAGCGCCCAGAGAGCGCCCGGTCCCGGGCAGTACCCACCCTCCTTGCACTCCAGGGCCACCCGGGACTCCAGGTTGTCCATCTGCATCTGCAGCCTCTTGAGGGTGAGGTCGTTCTCACGGGACTTGCGCTTGTAGGCGATGAGGACGATGATGACGATGATGAGGAGGAGGCTGCCCCCGGCCGCGATGCTGACGATGGCCGGCAGGGTCAGGAGGCTGTCTGAGATGATGCTCACCGAGCCGGGGGAGAAGATGACCCCACCAACACGCACCTACGGAGGACAGCTCAGGTCACCAGCAGAGTCAGGGTGTCACCTGCCCCAAAGCCCCGTCCTTCCCACCCCATGGGCTGTACAGATCCCTTGGGAAGCACTGAACCACCCCTGTTTAAGAATATAAAACTCCAATTGCCTTCAAACACAGAGGGTGCCGCTTATGTGAACACAGGGAGGCTTCAAGTGATGATAAATGTGCCAGCCCTTCACTATCTGGGCTTTGTTCTTATTATCTGATGGCTCCATTTGACTTTCATTTTATAAGCTTTCAACTCCCTTTTGTAAACCGTGGACATTAGCAACCCACTGATAATTTCACTGACAAGAAACCAGAGTGACTGGAAGGAGAGAGCAGAGAAGGGAAGAGAAAGCCCCACGTGAAAGCTATGGAGCAAACAGGCTGGAGTTAACGCCAGGACAGGCTTTTCTTGGATGTGCCCCGGCCACAGATGCGAGCAGCTCTCAGCCAGGTTGTGCTTCTGGGAGTCACACTGTGATAATCTGAATATGTTTTGGATGCTGAACTTAAAGGGGAATAAATCACAATTACAATCTCATTTGGGCTCCACTCAAGCACTTCAGCAGCTGCATGTTTGGTCTGCAAGAGGAGCAGAGGAAGCAGCGATGCCCAAAACCAAAGCAGAGGAAGGCACCGACTGTTCCCCTGGATGAGGTTGTTGATCCAACCACTGCAGTGTTCAGATGTTCCTGGCTTCTGCTGCGGGAAAAGGCAAAACCTTTCCATCCACTTAGCAGATCAGGTCTGGCTATGTGGGCTGATGAGATCCCTACAGGAGGGAGAACACTGGGAACAGTCTCATCCTCATCCAGAGGAAGGATGGTACCTGGTGCCAAAGGCACTGCTGGAAAGATCTGTTCCTTCTAGAAGGCTCTGATAGCAGGGAGTGAGTCTCAGGGAAGGACAAAGTTTCTCTGTGCTAATCCACATCAATATTTTAAGTTTCCAATTAGACAGCCATGAAAATCTAAAATCCTCCCAGTCCTTGGACAAGACATTGCATTCAGCATCCAAGCGAGTCAGGGAGCTGGAGGAGGAGCAGAAAGAATGGGAAGGAGGGAGGGAAAGGGATGTTGATGGAGAGTTTGGTCCCTCACCATGACTTTGTGCTGTCCAGTGAGGTTTGGGGGCTCGCACAGCAGCTGGGTCTCGGAGACAGTGACAGCACAGGGGGTTTCCCCGATCAGCACGGTGTAGTTGAGCTTGGCTCCTCCCGGGGCAGGCGGGCACAGGTTTCTGCCCTAGGGACAAGCAGAGAGAACACTGACAAAGATGCAGCCCATTCCTCCAGATTCCAGCTCATCCCCAGCTTGTGCAAACAACAGCACTCTGCCTGGTGTACCCCATTCTCCAAAAGAGGGATAAAACTCCACTACCTGGGATATTTTTCTTCCCATGGCATGGGTGGGGGGGTGTGGTGTCTCCTTACCTTCAGGATGATGGGTGAGCCTGGCTTCTGCTCCAGCACCCCGGTGGGGCTCAGCATTTCAAACGTGGGGTTGGGGTAGTAGATGAACTTGGTGTCGTTGTAGACCAGCAGGGCCTGCACGTTGTTGAAGATGAACCCGAACTCGTCCGGCCGCTCCACGGCGTCCAGGCCGGGCCGGTACTCGGGGCTGAGGGGGGGAGCGAGGCACAGCAGCACCGTGGAGTTCACCACCTTGCACACCTGTGGGGAAGGGGCTGCTCTGAGAGAGGCAGCACAGGAAAAACCCGCCCTTGACCTGGACAATGATGCTCTGACTCCCTAAATTCCCTCTGGAAAGTCACGGGGATTCAGGTTGGGCTGGAAATGTTTAATCCGGGCTCGATGCTCGATGATCTCAGAGGTTTTTTCCCAACCTTAGTGGTTCTGTGATGTGTTATAACCATGGTTTGGGGTAAGGTGCTTCCCCTCCGTCCAGCACGAGGGCACTGGTGCAAGGATAGAGAGTGAGCTCAAAAAGAGTGGCTTGCACAGCAGACCTTTCTCCTTTCTCTTTATTCTTTTTTTTTTTTTTTTTGCTTTTCTTTCCAGTTCCATCCTCTCTGGCAATGCTAGCTCTGAAAAAGACCCATGGGGAATATCTTCTCCCTGCTGCAAATGGGTGGTTAGAGGCAATTCCCAAATGCCAGGGAGGGAAAGGAACGATCATCTGACACTCGTGGGCTGGAGGTAACGTGAAGGTCATCTCCTGCCAGGCTGAGGACACCCACGGCTCCTCCAGCCCTCAGAGCAGGGAGATGGCTGATTTATGGGACTCTTGCCTTGTAAAGCAGCAAGAGCCCAACCATTTGGTCTCCCTCCCTAAGTGGAAGATTTAATTTCACTCGATTTCGTGTCTTCAGAATTATTTTTGTAGCACTATAACTGCAAGTGCTAGCAATGAAATTAGATGTCTTTTTAAAAAGAGCTCAGATGAAAAAGGTCTTGAGGGGGAGAAAAGGAATGGGAAAAGACTGCTAAGTGATTTGCCCTTTCCAAGATAATACAGATTCAGTCACAAAGATCACTGCATAGAAACAATATATTTCAGTTTTACTTGATCAAAACAATTTCTGAGGTCCTGGAGGTACAATTCTTACTTGTAGCACACAAGAAGATCTCCTAGTTCCCATTTAGCTGGGGATTCATTCCAGTTTCTCACTCGTGGACTGAAAAAATACAGATAGGGGAAGGAGGTGGCATTCCAGATCAACCCCAAACTCTGCTACCAACTCCTTGCTGTGGGAACACCAGGGTGATAGGAGGCATAAAAGTAACACTCAGTTCGCCAAAACACCCAGAGCCTCATGCCCAGGAAGGTTCCCCTCCCTCCTGCCCTCCCTGGGCTGGTACAGGTTTGCCAGGCCCAGAGCTGAGGCAACAGGAGGGTTATTTATAGAAGGCAGCCAGGGATAGACTAAACTAAGTTAAACTAAGCAGCCTCAGAGCTCTGGCAAGTCTCAGTGTCCAGCTCTGGGCTCTTCCAGAAAGCACAGGCCTAAAATGGGGAGTGTGGAGCAGCTGGGAATGATGGGGACAGCTCCACTTGGACTTCCCATCAGAACGTGCCTGCACAGCTGAGCTGGGTGCTGGGGAAAGGAGAGATCTCAGGGCTCAGGGGCTCTGACAAAAGGGGGATTTCAGGAGGGTAACAGGTTTATCTGCCCCAAGAGAGAATTTGAGGTGTTGGAGATGATCTAAAATGAAATCCTTCCTTTCTAGCTGTGAAAACTCCTTGGTTATTGTGCTGCCAAGGAATTAATTTCCCATTTCTGCGTGTCCCCATATTTGGGTAAATTTGGGAAATACCCCCAGGGCAGCTTGTGCCATGGCAAGGCTGGCCCCACAGACAGCACTGGCACCAGTAACCATGTGCCTGCAGCCAGGTGGGGGGATGCAGGGGGCTGCCCTGTGCTGACAGCACCTACTTACGTTGACAAACTCCTTCCCATTGTACTTGACGCGGATCCTCGGCTCCTGGATCACGTCCAGGTTGGAGCCAGTGACAGTCAGGGGCGTGTGCCCGCTGTGGAGAACAGGGAGACACCTGATTAATGGAGCTGGGGCTGTGCACAGAGCCTGGGCTTGACAGGGAGGATGCTTGTTGAGCTCAGAAAGATGTTTTCTGCAGCCACCTGAGGCACCAGCGGGGATTTATACCCACTCCTGAGTCACTGGGGAGGGGTGTCCCTGGATTTTCTGCTCTCAGTTGCCCCCCCTTCCCACCTCAAACACTGCAAGGCAGCAGGATGAGGAACCAAGGAAATCAGGGGAGCTGAGACTAAACACGTAAGACAATAAATTAGTCGCAGTGTTTAATGATTTACACAGCACTGGTTTCCAGCCCCACGATAAATGGCTCGTGCAGTGAAGGAACTGACGTGCACTTGCCTCTGGACTGCAGACACAGCAAGTTGTCACACAGAGCAGGGGAGGGATGGAGAGCCATCAGGGCCACGGGAGATACAACCCCCAGGGCCAGAGTACCCCCTTTCTCCTACAGCCAGTGCCCTGAGCAAAGCCCTTCCCTCTCCCTTCACGTGTTAACTGGAGCAGCACGGTCCAGATTCACCCACAGCTCCAGCACCTCCACAGCTGCTCCCTCAGACCCCCTCTGTCAGCAGCCCTGACCAGCCCATCCAACCCAGCTCCTCCAAAACCAGACACCATCCCGAATTTGGACTCAAGGCAGGCACCTCCAGAGCCTCCTGCGAGACACTTACCTCTTTCAAGGGCAATTTTAAAAAAAATAATTGGAATTTGATATGAATAGCTATGTTACAGCCCTTGTGAGCACAACCATTAAAGCAAAATCACAGGATGAGTGTGGCCCAGGGTTTTTAGCAGTGACAATGTCACGATGATGTGACAGCACCAGCCACCCCGTTCCCAGCAGTGAATCTGGGCTGACAGTACATTTTGATTAACATCAGTTTTTCCCTTTCTTCGTGGTTGCTGGTTTTGTTTTATTTCAGGACTACAAGAAGGAGCCTTTAATGAGCAATTGTGCCCTTCTGCAGCAGATGGGAGTGATCTTGGCTTTATTTGTGCTCCCAGAATCTGGGTGCAGACTGACTGCTGGAACTGCCTTGGGAATCACAACTCCTCTGGGAACTGTGATTTTTGGTAAATTCAAACACCACAGATGCCCAGCCCTGACAAATCCAGGATGCTGGGTGGGATGAGAATTTCCCAACAGACCCTGAGTGTGTGCTGAGAGAGAAGCCCCAGACAAGGAGAGCTGTTGAGGTCCCACTGTCAGATCCATGTGTTACCTGGCGATGCTCCACTCGGGCTCGATGTGCTGCACCTTGGGATCATCAATGTACTCAAACTGCAAGGTCCTCTCCAGCTGAGCCCTGTCCACGCTGACAGAGACCTGAACAGCCCCCAGGCCGTGGGCTGATGGGGCTGACACACAGACTATCTCGCTCGTGGATCGCCTGTGCAAGGGGGAAACGGGGAAATGTTAACGGGTGGTCACGGTGTGGGGGCAGAAAACAGCCCTTTGTCCTGTCCTGGGGCAGCTCCTGAGCCATCAGTCATCCCCACACTGACACCTGTGAGGGGGACAAGCTCCCGAGGCGGGCAGGAGGGTTTCAGTGGCACGGGAGGGAGGGAGTGGAGCTCTGCCCACCGCGAGAGCAGCGCAGCCTCCCTGAAATGGCTCTTTGTGCCAAACTGCAGCCTCCCGCATCCCTCTGAACCCGCTGCCTTCTGCTGGGCGTGTGAAAACAGATGGCTGCTTTTTAAATGGCATGCATAAGCTCACTCAAAAGCCAAATTCTTCCCCCTCCCCACCCCGTCGCACACACGAGGCTCTTGTGAGCGGCATAATGGAGCCGCGCAGCCCCCGCCTGGGAAGGGCGATGCCACGGTCAGCGCTGCCTTTGGCTTTGTCTCCCCGTCAGAGCAGGGTGACCTCGGCCTCGGTGCTGGCTGGCTGGACACAACAGACCATCTGCTGCCATCAGAGCCCTGGAGAAGGTCGAGGCAGCAGCGTGGCGAGGCGCTGTCAAAGCACAAAGGCGCCGGTGGGTGGGTGGATGGATGGAGAAGGGGAATGAGATCTGAGCATCCAGAACGGAGCTGTAAGGAACCACGTGGCCCCATGGTGAGCCTGGGCATTGATGCTACAAGAAGTGCTGCAGTGACACCCCTGGAAGTGTTCCTGCACAGCCACCTGTGGTTGTCCTTCCTGCCCAAACCTGCCCCTGGCTCATAGAGAAGATTGTGCTGTTCCTGCGGCTCATTTAGTTTTGGGTTCTTCCAGGGAAGAGGGTAGGCAGGTCTGCAGCACCAGCTGACAGTCTGGCACTTAAATCAAAAACTGGCACTCCTGAATGTCCAGTCTTCACCATCCTCACCCTCCCCAAGGGCTGTGCAGCTCACGGAGGTGCCTGAACAGCTGAGTGTCCCTGCTCTGCTTCCAGCAAAGCTCTGGTGTCTGTGCCTGGCAGGGGGATGATGTGTCGTCCCATTTTAGAGCCTTTACACACTTCCTCCCCTCCCTGAGGAGTATGGACACATCACTCAGCACTGGGCATTTCAGGGGGCATGGAACAGCAGGTACCACAATGTTCCCAGCTCACACCTTGGCACTTCCACCCACCACAACCGAGGGAACAGAAACAACCTCCTAAAAACACCTTAAACAAATTGGACTCAACTGTTTCTGTTGATGCAATTACACATCTACCCCTTCCTGCCCTCCTCCTCCTCCCTCCCTCATGCTATTCTCACTCTCCACCTAGGATTAATTTAACCACAAAGGCATCCCTGTGTGAGGAGTGGGTTTCTCCACCTTCCTTGCTGAGTCTCAGAGTGTTTCTATGGATGCCTGTGCAGCTGATGAGATGCCTGCTGCTGCCTGCACTGCTGCTGCCTGCTCTGCTGCCTGCTCTGCTGCCCACACCAGACCCCACCGTGCCTGCTTAGCTCTGGCACGAGATCCAGAGTGACGCATCGCTGCTGGCAGAGCAGCTCCCAGCTCCCTGTGATCAGCTAATTAGCTTTCTGTGCTATTATTATGTCGTCATGGTGAATCTACCCACTCCTCCGATCAGAGAGGGGAGAATGGGGGAAGCTGTAATTAGAGGGAATCTCATTAGAAACTGCTTCATCTCATCAGGCTCCCCCACACCCTCGAGTACAATTGAAGTTCATTGCCTCAAAACAGCCCAAGCCAAACAAAGTGCACAGCGTGACCCCACGTGAGGGCTGGGGCTGTTCACACACTGCTGCCTGCTTTGTTTAACTTTCTGCTTCCTGCTGTAATTTAGAACATACAGGGAATCCAAAACTCTTTTCCAGGTTTTGCAGGTCAGCATCTAGAGGTTTCCTGAATAAAATCTGGTATTTAAGGGATGATATTCCAGGGCTGATTCTGCTCTTCTGTTGGGGGTAACGCCGTTCCCTGTGTGTGCATCCGAGGGAGCAATCTGGCATCTTTGTTTTGGAGGTGGGAAGAAACATTGATGGATTGGTTACATTGCTTAGCACTTGGAGAACTGATCCACACTGGAAGGTCTCAGCAAATCCAGACCTCCCAAAGGTCTGGGATGGATACAGCAGAAGCATTGCTAACAACCCAACGTGCTCCCACATCTGAACACCCACAGCTCCTGTATTGAAGGACCTCTCAAATTCACCTCCAGGAGTCTTTGCTTTGCCAGAAACTCCCTCAGTTCCTCCTGGGAAGCCTGAGTGAAGATGTGACAAGCAGAAGAATCCCCTTGGGACACCAGGTTCCCACCCAGGCTGTGCCCACTGCCTGCTGCTTTGGGCACCTCGTGGGTCCGGGCAGGGCTGTGTACATGGGGCACACAGATGTAAACACAGATGTATCTTTTTCTAACTAAGCCCCAAGAAAACCCATTAGACCCTGCAAATGTCAACTCTGTGTTTACACTGCTGGGTAAAAAGCAAATTTGCCATTGAAATCCCACTGGAGATTGATGGCTGTGTGAATTCCCTGGCAGAAGGTGTGTGCAGACCCATGCCCTGCTCTACCCAGCAGGACCCCAGCCCTTACTCAGACCATTTTTAGGAGGTCGAAGCACCTACAGCAGTGGCTGCAATAAAAACAGTGCAAGGTGTTTATCTCTGAAAAGAGAAACCAGGTATTTCTTGTGTTACATATTCTTCAGACTAACTGGGCTGGGGGCAGGTATTGATGACCAATATAAATATTTTACCACCACAGTGATGTTTGTCTGAAATTTTTGGACTAATTAACACTGCAACAGCATTGAAACCAAACAGTGGGCAGCACTAACACCAATGAATCCCTCCAAGGCTCAGTCACAGCAAGAGAAAAGATGGTTTCACGCAATGAAAGAGGGACTGGGAGCCTTCAGGGGTGGTTTTGCCTTGGCTGCACGTTCAGCTACAGCAGATCCTGGTGGAGCAGGACCAGGAGGTGCAGGCAGGAGCCCACACTGGCCCAGCTCATCCTCTTACCCGTAGAACTCGCAGGTCTGGTTTCCCAGGAGCACGGACACACGGCTGCCAGCTCCCAGGTAGTGCCCAGAGATGGTCACCATCGTCCCTCCCGACTCGGGCCCGCGGCTGGGATTCAGGAAACTCACCACTGGAGTCTGGAGAAAGGAAAGGACAAACTCAGCAATCCTGCCTGCAGTGAGGGAGCTGTTGTGAAGCACCAGCCCTGAGCACCCTCATGCTTTTAACAAGGAAAAGCAAAACAGGGATGTGTCCTGGACGTCTGACAAACGTCCTGCTGCGTTTTCTAACCCAGCTCTGACAGAGGGATGTGCCCCAACAAAACAATTGCCAATTCAGCCTTGGCAAAGTTACGGATTCACCTTCGACTTTGCTCCTAAGCAAAGGTAAGTTGATGGCACTGCAGTTTGAAGAACTAAATATATCCAAGCAAACTGCCACGATGGAGATTTGAACCCGAATATTTGGAGTTTGTCAGTGTGGGAAAGGATAAAAAAAACCCCACCAGGGTCTGGCAATGGGAAATGCTGCCCAGCTACAACAAAAGGCAACACCACCAGCTCCAGCTCCATATGAACCACCAGGGATGGAATTGTGGGGGCAGAGCCTGTTTCCCATTGCTGATGGAAAGACATCCTTGGTGGGTAACCTTAGATCCCACTTGGCATTTTCCTGGTGAAATTATCACAGCAATGCCACCTCTCACCCTGCCCTGCACCAGGGTGGCTGGTTATACCCTTAATAGAATTTGCAGAGGGCAGGTACCCTTTTATTTCTTTTCAATCAGTGGATATTACCAAATTGTTTTACTAATGCTTTCACATTACCCTCTTTACGACTCATCAGCAAAGCCTGGCAAGCTCCCAGCTCCAATCCCCTGGGATCACCTGCTTGGCAGCTCCATCAGTTGGTCCTGTTTTCCCTACTGTTTTCCCACTGCAACACATGTTTTCTGGGTGTCACAGCATCTGCCAAAGCAGCTCAGACCAAAAGCTTGTTTGACCCTGACTCCTGAATAGACCAGGGAAAAATACACCATCCACCCTGTTGTGGATAATCAGGGAATAATGTTGCAGGAGGGAAAGATTCATCCTTTAACTGCTCCTGGTCAGCTCTTATCCTGCCTGGGGTCAGCAGTTGGAATTGATGATCCTTGTGGGGCCCTCCCAGCTCAGGATATTCCATGACTTCCTCAGTTCATGGCAAAATCAGGCAATAGGAAATAGGAATGGCAATAGCAATGTTCACACTAGGCAGGCTTGGGAGCATTTCACACAGCCCAGAGGACTGATTCCAAAATGCAAAAAACCTCCAAAGGATGCTCAGTGTATGACTGCCCATCAGAAACCTCCTTCAAAATCAAGCCCAACCCTGGGAACTGTTCCCAAGGTGATTTGGGAACAAGCTGCCATGCTGTGGACACTCCAGACTGTGAGACCCCACTACCACCCTCCTCCTCCTCCTCCTCCAGCCCCATCCCTGGGGCCAGATGGCTCATGGGAGCCCAGGGATGGAAAGGAACAGTTATTTTACACATCCCTGAGGTCCAGCAGTCCCCCCCACACACCAGCACAAAGTGTCCTGGGCAGCACAGCCCTTCTCTGCATTCAAAAATCAATGATAAACACTCCTTGCCTACAAGCATCTGACGTTTCTGGTGTGAGCCTCACCTTGTCTGAGCACTGCAATCCTTGGAAATTCAAAGCATTGCTAAAAATAGAAACTCAGGCTGTAACTCTGAGTGGTCACTCTCGTAAACAAGTTAAAAAAAAACAAAACAGGAGAGCTGAGAGCCCATCCTAGAGACCTAAAAAGTCCCAAGAGTGGGATGCAGCCGGCATTGGAGGAGGGTCTGAAAGCTAAGTAAGAACTTTCCACCTTCAGTTCATGATTTGGTGATAATTATGACAGATTTAGAGCTCCAAGGTTCCTCCTCCCCAGATCAAAGGGGTGTCATTAAGGTGGCAGCGTGGCTCCTGCACCATGGCAGGCACCAGATGAGCTCAGGAAGGCACAAACCCTCTCAGGGTCAGCCCAGAGCTCTGCTCTGAGGTACCAATCAATTTTACTGCCGACTTTAATGGCATAAACCAGCTGTAATGGAAGCTGTGGCGGTGCTAAAGAGAAAAATATAGAGGCCAGCTAACAAAAGGAAATGATGTGCTGGAAGTTTTAGATGCCTGAGAAAAAAAGGAGCGATATAAAAATCAGTGTGTAAGTGCTGGAAATCAGGAGTAACAATGCCAAGGGATAATGCTCAGCACATGCACCAGGTTGCTGCAAAAACACTACTCAGATTCATCTCTGTAATTCCTTTCCACTGGTTCCTGGTTGTTATTTAGCACAAAGCTGGTGTCGCATGGGAACGTGCCTTTGGAGAGTGGCAAAGCTGGGACTACACTGGCACTGCCCTGCCATGACCAGGGGGATTTCTGGAATATTCCAGCAAAATGGGGTGATATTTTGCACCCCTGCTGTTGCTGATTAAATGAAATGCCAGGGGAGGGTGTTTGCTATAATGCTGAAAGAGTGGTAGGGCCTGGCCTGATTTATCTCTTAATTAGTTTACAAATTGTGGACAATTGGTAAGTGCTGGCATCTCCCTGCATACAGATTCCACTGAGCACAAAATCAATGGGGCTGGATGAAATGCCCTTTTTAGGCAAAACTGGAGATACGGGAAACTCCAGCTGTGGCTTTTCAGTTTCTGATTTGAGAAGCTGCTAATAAAACAACAGAAAGACCCATGCCATCACTGGAAGTCCACCAACCCCAAGAGCAGCTCTCCACTGAGCAGGGAGAAATCCTTCACTAAACCAGCATCCTGGGAGTGTGGGGGGGAAATCCCTGAATATTTGAATGCAGAATATGAATAATATATAATGCAGAATATGTAATATAATGTTCCTTACGTTCCCTGGGGAAAAATTAAATCTGTGGACACAGAAAATCAGACATATTTAGGTGTCAGTCGATTCAGTTTTGAGCAGAAGTTCAGTCTCTGAGATGCAGAGGGACAGGCTCTGGTCCTTCTCTCCTGCTGTTGTGTTTCTGTGTTTGTGCAAAAAGGTCTGTTGGTGCCTGTACATATACACACATATGTATAAAAACATCTCCAAAACCAGCAGGAAGCAGCCCCAGATTCACTAGATAACCAACTAGAGCAGGTTATCACAAGCTTTGAGGCCCTGGCACAGGTTGCCCAGAGAAGCTGTGGCTGCCCCATCCCTGAAAGTGCCCAAGGTCAGGTTGGATGGGGCTTGGAGCAACCTGGGCTAATGGAAGGTGTCCCTGCCCGTGGCAGAGGGGTGGAACTGGATCATCTTTGAGGTCCTTTCCAACTCAAACCATTCTGTGAGTCTAAAATCACTATTCTGAGGTGCAAACCCGAACCCAAATACTGCGGGAACCCCAAGCTGAGGTTCATTCTCAGGCCTGTGCCAGCTCCAGATCCTGAAAACCAGGCTTGTTGACTGGGCTACCGAAAACTGTGCAACACCAGCATTAGAAAAAGACGGCAATTTCGGGATGGTCTTCTGGAGTCGAGCCCTGTCCATGTGACACAGGCACTGGCAGGGCAGGGCTGTTCCCGTGGGACCCCCGTGCTGTGCCCCCCCTGGCCAGGACTCACCACAAACATGTACTGCTGCGCCGACTTGGCCGTGAACTCGGGCTTGCACTCTCCGATGCACAGGAGCACTGGGCCGGAGCTGATCCCTGGAAGCGCCTGCCCCATTTCACAGACGATCCTGGAAGGAGAAATGCCGCAGGGAAGCTTTGGCAGGAGGTGCCAGCAGTGCCCCTGCACAGCTCCACGCAGGGCTGGCTTCCTCTGGTTCTTCTTCCTTTCCCCCCTGACCCCCCCACCCCTCCTCTTTAACTTTGATATCTGCCTCTTTGGAAGAAGTTAATTACTGAGTCTATTTTTACCCCATGTAGTAATTTAAAGGAAAAAAAATCAAAATTAGACATAATTATTACAAGCTGTAAACTCCAGAGCAAAGCAGAGCACTAATGGCAATATATTAGCCAGTAGCAAAGTGAGTGCGAAGTCCTTAGAGTAACAGATGAGTTCATTAAGGGAACAGCTCACACTGCAGTCTCCCAGTTAATCAAAACTGGAGAAGCCTGCTCGGGAATGATAGAGACAGCCATGGAGAGCAGCTTTTGCAGGGACACAGGGCTGGCTACCACAGAACACACTGATGCTGGGCACAGGAGGCAGTGGCATCAAAGGACACGGTCCTCGTGCTCCAGCTCAGCCCCGTGGGCACATCCTGAGGCTGGGAAAGCTGGAAGGGCAGGGAGAGCTGCTGGGGTTAAACACATAACTCAAAAATCCCAGGGCAGCAGGGATGTGTAACAGCAGCTGGGGTTGGGATCAAGAGGATGCCAGTCATGCCAGCAGGTTTGAGGGAGGTTTTCAAAGGGGCATCAGCTGGCAGGGCTCTCCAGCTGGACATAAAGGGGATGGATGCTGCTGGCTCCCGTGGAAACGCTGGAAAGATAAATTCAAGAGCATCCCTCCAGGCACTGGAAACCTGGGGGTGGGAGTAACCTGCCTTGAGGATGAAAACCTGGGGGTAGGAGGAGTAACCTGCCTCAAGGAGGGAAACATGAGGGTGGGAATAACCTGCTTCAGGGTGGAAATCTGAGGGTAGGAATGATCTGCCTCAGGGATGGAAACTTGGGGGTAGGAGTAGTACCTGCCTCAGGGATGGAAATCTGAGGGTAGGAGTAACCTGCCTTGAGGATGGAAACCTGGGGGTAGGAGTAGTAACCTCCCTCAAGGATGGAAACATATGGGGAGGAATAACCTGCTTTGGGGATGGAAATCTCGGGGTAGAAATAATCTGCCTCAGGGATGGAAACCTGAGGGTGGGAGTAACTTGCCTCGGGCAGGGGGTGCAGTAACCCCCCTGATGAGACACTTGTGGGTGTCTGACCCTGAGAGTGAGACCAGAGGAAGAGCCAGAGCATCCCCTGCCCACTGAGGCTGAAGGAGCAGGAGGAAGCTCTCGCTCTTCTGCCATTCACACACAAAAGCATAAAAGGCTCCAATTTGGGAAGGCAGCGTTCCAGCCGCCTTCAGCAGCATTAAATTCACTACAAATAAAATAAAGAGACTAAAGGAAGAAAAGAACCTTGCAGATCGCCTGCACAGGTGATGCCAGGAGGCCTGATGAAATACATACATGCTGGTAAAGAGCTGGAACGTGCACGTCCTCGTTGCTGCACATCAAAAGGGGTTGCCTAGAGAGACGCTGCCTTTGGAGAGCAGGAATTGAAGCATCTCAGCTGTGTGCCTTAATCTGCCACGTGCTCCTCGCTCTGCCTTTCAAGCAGACAGTGCCCGTGCACCTCTCTCTGCCTGTTATTTGATCACTTCTCCTCCTGCAGACCAGCAGCAGGGCCAGGAGGCAGCTGTGCTCTGATTTTGGGTGCAGGGCTGGCACCTGGGAGCAGCAAAAGCCAGGGGAAGTGATTCCTGACACCCCACGGGCAGGAAAAGAGAGGGGAGGTTTTCCCTCCCACAAGAAACGAGGAAACACGAAATACTCAACAATTTGCCAGTAAAGCAGCAGCTGCCACACAGATCGGGCAGGACTGGGTGCAGGACAGGGCACAAGCAACCTGGAACACCTGATCCCGATTCCTGCTAAAAGCCAAATTCCCAGCAGGTACCTTGTTACAAAGTGATGCATTCGGCAGAGCTGTAGGGTGCTGATTGCTGGGCTAAGTGGCCCTTTCACCAACATTAACCTAATTGCTGGCTGATAGATTGCGTGGCTGGAGCATATGGCGAGTCATTACAGTCTTGGAATTCAGTCTGCCCACAGAACCCTTAAGAGGGTCCTTTTATCTGCATTCATCTTTAAAAGGCAGCTCTCATGCAAAGGCTTGCTGTTATCTGCCCAGGGTAAATGTTTTAATGATGTTAACAAACTTTGAAAGCTCGAGAGCCGTAATTAGAGTCATGATTATAAAATCAGGGTTTCGTACCATCAAAGGAGGATAATTTCATAATCTTCCATCCTTTATTTGAAAAATAAAATAAAACAAAGTCCTGCTCAGCAGAACAGCCCAAACTGCTTGTAGTGACAGGACTATTGGTGTAGTGGTTGGAGCCATTCCTGCAGTAACACCAAGACACCCTTCAGCCAGCGATCCCATGACACCCTGACACATCCTCGCAGCTCAGAAGGGGTTATTAATGTCATTTCTGTCTTACAGATGGGGAAAGAAAGACGAGGAGTGAGCAAAAGCCAAACCAACGCCAACGTGTGCTGGTGACAGGTCCTTGCACTGCTCTGGGGATCTGACTGGGGCACTGCACCACCAGAGGACAACTGCTCTGAGCTGCTCCTGAAGCTGGGGCAGATCTGTGCTGCTGGGACCACTCATGGGCTCTTGGCCTTCCCCATACCACACAGGACACCATCCTGATCGCCATGAAGAGAGCAGACAACCCGAGGGGACACATCACCTCTTGTTCCTCTCCCACCCTGCCCAAATGACCCCGACACACCCAAAACAACCCCTCCCCAAAGCGGCAGGAGGAGAGCGTGTCACCTGGGGAGGTTTATCCTCTGTTTATCCTCTGTTACATGCCTGTTTTCTAATTTTTGGTTGACATTTCGCTGGGTGAAACAAATGAATTGACTCCAGTGGAGGCCCACTCGGAATTAAGCGGCTGTCACCGCCTCGCCCGCCTAACAAATGGCTGCGCGCAGCCGGCAGCGCCGCCGGAATTTCAAGTGCCACGGGGAGCAGGGAGGCTCGGCATCAACAGCAAGGTGCTCATCAGCAAAGTTGCTTAGCAAAGCAGGAACAGCAGGGTGGAAGGAAACAGAGCACTTAATGAAAGCTTAAAGTGCTGCTTAACCCCCAAGGAGAGTGCCCGAGCGAGCGCCTCGTCCCTTCCCGCGCCCAGGCGCCGTCCAACTCCAGACCCCTTCCTGGAGGGGCTGGGAGGGTGGAGAGGTGGTGCCTGGGGTTGGGATGGGTTCAGGGACGAGGCTCTGTGCCCGTGGTGGGGCTGGGTGGGGTCTGTGAGGTCACTCACTGCTCTGCCACGATGTAGTGCTCGGGCAGGGGCGCGCAGGGCACCCCGGCCACCTGCACCCCGTGCGCGATCTCCGAGAAGTCCAGGCCCAGGTTCACTCCACGGATGGTCACCCTCGTCCCTCCTTCTGGTGGGCCCGACACCGTGAGGATCTAGAGGGAAACAAAACACAGCAAAGTTGAGCTGGTGAGCCCCAAACCCCATCCTTCAACCCCTTGCCTGGCTTGGAAATGCTGCAGTCTGCTCAGGGAGGCTGAGTGCTGCAACCTCCTCCTGCTCCTGCTGCCAAACCCACGCCAGTGCCAGCTCCCCATGACTCCTCTGGATGTCCTGGAGAAGCCCAAGGCTGCTGAAACCCATCTGTGCTGTGCTCCAAGAGAGGACACCAAGATCCCTGGGCTGGCCAAGAGCTGTAGGCAATGCCATTCCCCAGAAAGCCCTGGCTCCTTTTTAATAAATGCAGAAGATGATAAGTCACCTTCCAGAAGTAGCTTGCTTCTTGGGAGAACTTTAACTTCTGCCTTGGCTGTTACCTGAATGTTAATGTCACATTTTATTAGTAAGTTGGCACCTCAAATGACTTAAAAATGTTAAAGGGTGAGATGTGTGCTTTCAAGCTGCCTGTTTATAGCCTGCCTCAGCCATAATCATCTCTGCTTCTATGGACTTTCATTAAGGACAATATTCTCTTCAATTAGGAATATAAATTTCAATAATGCAGAGTCACAAAATTTGGACCCAAGACTCTCAAACAGTTATCCTGAATCTGCCACCAGTCTGTCGTTGCTCTTGGGTGAGTTACTAATCTTCCCCATACTACAGTTGTTGTTAATAAATAAACACAATCCATAATAATGCAATTTAATTAATTTAATGGATAAATCCTGTTTACGCTTGTTTGTTCCACCCTTGTCTTTGGCAAAAGACTTGAGCTCTTCAAAACCTTTTCCTCACTGTTTCCAGATGGATGTTTGCTTTCTTCCATATTCCTAAGAGGCAGTTTGGAAGGTGGCCAAACACCAGCAACCTGCCTCAAAGCAGCCCCTGTGGGACCCCCTGCACTGTCCAGTGCCACAGGGCATGTCTCCCCCTTCCCATGCCATCAGGATATCCCTGTGCCCCATCACTTCTGGGGTTCCAAGTTCCTCAAAGCATCTCCCTGCATTTCAGATCCCAGCTGAAGCCATTTTCCTTCTCCCTTGCTTACACATTGTCATTTCATAGAATCATGAAATGGCTTGGGTTGAAAGGGACCTTAAAAATCATCTTGTTCCAACCTCCCTGCCACGGGCAGGGACACCTTCCACTAGCCCAGGATGCTCCAAGCCCTGTCCAACCTGGCCTTGGACACTTCCAGGGATGGAGCAGCCACAACTTCTCTGGGCAACCTGTGCCAGGGCCTCCCCACCCTCACAGGGAAGAATTTTTTCCTAATATCCAATAAAACCTACTCTCTGGCAGTTTGAGGCCATTCCCCCTTGTCCTGTCACTACATGCCCTTGTAAACAGTGTCTCTGCATCTTTCTTTTAGGCTCCCTTCAGGTACTGGAAGGCCACAATTAGGTCACCCAGAAGCCTTTTCCACCTCTGCTCCTGTTTAAGGTGCTCCTGTAGAAATTCACAGTCACAGAATCATCAAGGTTGCAAAAGACCTCCCAGAGCAAGTCCAACCTTTACCTAATCCCACTAAAACATATCATCAGGTGCCAGGTCTGCTCTTTTTTTGAACACTTCCAGGGCTGGTGACCCCACCACATCCCTGGGTGGAGCCTGTTCCAACTCCATGACTCCCCTGGGCAGCCTGTTCCACCTCTGGCCACACGTGCTGAGGTTCAGGCAGCTCCACACGCCCAGCAGAGCCACCCCACACACCAAACCACCCCCTCCTTCCTCTGCTTGAATTCCCACCTCCCTCTCCGACCGAGGTTTTTAATTTATTCACCAGGCACTGCCTGTTGTGCTGCTGTTCCCTGTAACTCACACTGCCTGGCACGTCTTGTATCATTTAGCTCGGCGGGAAGCGCTACGTGCCCACAAAGCCACCACCAAATCAAGCTGGATTGCATTACACCGAGTCCTGAAGGCCTGGGAATGTTTACATGGCTAGCTGGGAATCACCTGAACTTGGCACTTCACCTACTTGACAGTTACAACCGTCCTTTGCAGCACTAGATTATGTTAAAATGCATTTACTGGAGCGCTTACACCGCTGGGCTCATCGGCTCATCACTGCTCAAGAAAAAGAAGTCACCGTTTACCATTTGCTGACCTGACCAGAACCAGAGGAGCCAATTGGCCTCACCCAAAACAAAGCTGAGCTGATGCTGTATTTTAAAAATGTCCTGACCTGGAAAATCTCCAATATGGAGCTCCACTCGACCTAGATTTTAGTGGCCACTAATTGAACAGTTTTGAAGTAACTGTGCCATAAAGCAGCCCCAGGGTTAGAACAGATGCATTCAATTAATTACAGCTGGAGAGATTCAGTCAAAATCGCAGAAAGAAGATAAGTCTTAAAGGTCCCGTTGCACCGAGAGCTGGGGACCCCTCCAAGCAGCATCCCTGGGCCCTTCATTGGGGTGAGGATTCGTGGATGAGGCACCTCCAGCAAAGCCAGCCCGTGGTCTGCCTTAATCCTGGCTTGGCTGTGCTGGATGCTGCTCAGGCTGCAGGGCTGGTTGGTGACACTCCAGATTTCTGATCCGAGACAGACAGGATTAGGAAGAAATATTCCCCAATTTCAAGAAAATCACTTTACTAGACTGGCTTTTCTCTCAGAGGTCTGTGGAGGATGAAAAGAACCTGCAAAGGGCAGCCGAAGAAAACCAAGGCCATTATCAGGAATTGTACATTTGCTGTTAAGGAATTTGCACCTCTGCTGGAAGTTTTTTAGGTTGTTTGTTGAACTGAAGCAGTTTGGAAGTCACTGAGATCTGAGAGGGGTGTGGGAGGCAAAATTATTCTGAGCAGGTCACCTCTCCCCTTGGCATCAGGCTCACCTCTCACAGAACAAATCTGCAATCCACCACCTCTAATAATGCCTGTTCCTGCTGCCCAGGGAAAGGGTTTATGCAGGTGTGCAGCTCTGTATTATTCATAAAAAGATTTCAAGTACAGAGATGAAGTGAGTGGTGGCAGGAGCTCGGTCACCCCCACACCCTGCCCTTGCATCACGGAAGGGCTGCAAATGCTCCAGGGCATTTCTCTTGCTGCTGCTTGCTTGAAACCAAGGTAGGGATCATCAAGGTTGGAATCCAAGGGATCCCAGGGATCCCCAAGGTTGGAATCCAAGGGATCCCAGGGGTCCAGGAGCCCCAGCACAGTTGTAGCACCCTTCCCTCCCCAGCTTGCAGAAGACACTCCTATAACAGCGCAGGATAAACGTTCTCAGCCTCCCATCTGGCCCGTTGCATCGCTCAGCATTTCTGACATCAAGCAATATTTAGCCTCCAGAAGAAGTCTGTGATGAGAGGGGGGAGACCTGGAGACAGGGAGACCTGGAGGCAGGGCTGGCTGTGAGTTGGACGGGGCTTTCCTTGCGGAGCTGCACAGAAGCCCCGAGCCCGACGACCGCTCCGCACAACAACCACTTGGCATCTGTCAGGGTGCAGGGAGAGCACCCGGCTGCTGAATCAATGGCATAACCCCTGCCCCCCTCCCTAAACCTCATCCACCTTCATCCTCTTTGTCTTTTTTCATCCTGCTCTGAGCTCTCTGGATCCCAGCTGATGAGCCCAGCGGGGACCCGGCACACAAGCATTGTCATCCCGGCATGATCCCTCCTTGTCTCTGCCTCGGCTGATAGCACATTCAGAACCTAATTGTTATCTCAGCAGAGCAACTCCATTATTCAGCCTGACACTGCCTCCCCCCCCTTCAGCTGTTTGTTGCACTGATGTTATATTAATGAGGCCTGCAAATAAATGAATAGGAGATCAGAGTGCCGCTTGTTCGCCACAAAACTGATTTTTATTTATCTATTGCTAAGACCACAGACCGTGTGGAAGTTTTAAGATGCTGAAGGGACACTGTTGGTGACGGCAGAGCCTCTCACTTAGCAAAAGAACTGCAAATATCCCGCTGCTCATTTACTTTTATAACTATTAAAACACAGTCTCTTCTTACTTATGCACCCCCTGAAGGCACTGGTGTCTGGGAGCCAGGCCCTTGACCTCAGGCTTGTCAGAAAGAGTGAACCTGGCCAGATGAAGCAAAAAGGAGTGGAAAACAGCCCATATTAAAGGCTCTTTCAGGCTGAATCTGATGCAAACCCCAGTATGAGACCTAACACTGTTCCCCAGTCGGGCCTGTCAATGCTGGTGCCTGCAGGATGGAGGATCCCAGCTCTGAGCCTGCCAGCTTGGTCCCAGCAGGGCAGGGTGTTCCCCTCCCAGCATTCCAGCTCTGCAGCACTGGGCAGTGCAAAATGGTACCCAAAATCCCCCAAAAAACTCAGGTGGCAGAAAAAGACCCAACAGCAACAAAGGCTGTAAAGGGCTCATGGTCTCCTACACAATCTCACACACTTTACTGGAGGGGAAAGGGGATGAGAGAAGTGAAACCAGGCTGTTGAAAGGGTTGGATTTAGGAATATCGACCCTGTGGGGTTTCTGCTGGGGCTTTGGCATTTTCTAGACCTGACTGCTCAATGCAAGATTCTGCCTGAGTGTTCAGCCCTGTCAGTGCCCTTCCCACCAGTGGATCTCAAAGCACACAGAAGAGGTCACTAGCTCCCCTCTGCTTTCCCCTTTCTTTTCTACAACTGAAAACTTGACTTTCATAAAAAAAAAAAAAGCAAGCTGTGAATTCCTAAGGAGAAAGGTGGAGTCCAAGGGAAAACACCAAACACCACAAGACCCGTGATAAAATCACAGCAGCTCATGACTCTGCCAGGGTCAGCAGAGCCATGGGACAACACAAGCCCCTGAAACCCGGGTTTCTCATTGCTGATCTCACTGTGGAATAAGCCAACAAAAGCACAGACATTCCCTACTCCACTCTCTCATCTCCAAATCCACTCAGGGCAATCTCCTGAGACTCCAAACCTCCCCCAGCAAGGCACCTCGTGCTTCCCGCTTTGTAGACTGAGACCCAGACCTGGTTATGGAGACAAGAAACATGTAACAGCAGCAAAGCTCTGCTCTTTTCTCCTTGGACAGAGCCCAGAAGTATTGCTTTCAAGTTGGACAGTGATAAAACACTCGGTGGCAGTGCCATGCCTGCAGCCAGCTGCCAGAGCCAGCCTGGCACCGCTGAGATGCAAGTCACTCGGTGGCTGGAGCTGAGTGTTTTTCCCCTTCTCTGCTTAGCTCAAGGAGGGGGAAAGAAATAATTCCAAGATTTCTTCAATGTTACAACTGTCTGAATGGTTTATGGTGAAGAAAATCTCAGGCAGAGGCTGTTTTGCTTTGTGCATCTTGTAGCACAACCTCGTGCAGCACAAGAGCACTTGGATAAGTAAAGTTTGGGTTCTGCCCACTGGCAGGACAAGGTGAATATCCAGGCAAGCTTTAAGGCTCATTTTATCTCTTAGTAAGACACCTATGGCTTGGAAAACAAACAAATCAACCAAACAGGGAAAGGATTCTCAACACTTCTTAATGCTTTCCTATCTCTGCACAACCAGCCCCAACACCTCGTCTGCTCCTCCACAGGCATGTCACATCACCAGCCTCACCAGCTCCACTCTGCAGCGTGAAAAACACTGCACAAGAGAAATCCCTGCCCAGCAAAGGTGTAATATGGCTGGGCAGAAGGTCTAGGAAAGAAATATCAAAAGCCTGGTAACATCCCTGCAGGATGGATGGACCCCCCTCAGCATCATCCTCCTCCAGTCAGCCCCACCCAGCCCTGACACAGCAGCCTCTGTGCTTCCTCCCCTCCTCTATAAAAGGAGGTTGATGCCTCCCTCCCTCCCAGGGGGGTTGAGCCAGTTTAGCTAAACTGGTGTAAAATAATTGAAGAGGAACTTTCCACATGCCCTTGGGTCCTTATTCAGCTGGCAGAGGTTTGGGTGCTGAGCAGCCCTGCTCCCGCCCTGCCACGAGGAAGAGGCCCCTTCAATCCAGCACTATTACATCCTTCTGCAGTAGTGACACATGCTCAGGGTGAGGGAGGTTTTTTTTCAGGATTTAATTAACTGAGAACCCAAAATCTTCCTTCATTCCCACCTGATAAGAGTGTCACTCCTAATAGCGACGTTAACAGCCCGAGCGCACTTTTACCGGTGAAAAAACGCTCCTGGGAGACATTCTGCATCCCTCAGTGGCCTGAACAGAAATATCAGAAGCATCAACTACGGACTAATTAGCTCCCTGGTTTAATTAGCATTCTCGCAGCGGTCCGTGGCGGTCACCCCGGTGCTGGTGGCACCGGCGGCGAGTGCCAGCTGCCTGGGGCAGGGCTGCACCCCTGGCCATGTGCCATGAACGGCACTGAAAAAGTACTGGAGCGTTTTCATTCCCGTTCTCCAGCGCCAGGAGGGCAACGGAAGGTTTTTGGACAAGACAGGGACAGCCCAAAATCCACCCTGGGAGGAGCAAAGGAGGAGGGGGAAACTGCCAACCATGAGGGGTTCGACGAGGGGAAGTGCCAAGTTCTGCACCTGGGATGGGGCAGCTCTGGATGGATGGACAGGATGGGGGGTGAGAGGCTGGAAAGCAGGGCCAGAAAGGGCCCTGGGGGTCCTGGTTGAAGGGAAGTTGGCCCTGAGTCAGCAGTGCCCTGGCAGCCAGGAGGGCCAACCCTGTCCTGGGGGGCATCAGGCCCAGCATCGCTGGCTGGGCCAGAGAGGGGATTGTCCCACTCTGCTCTGACCTGGGGTGGCCTCACCTGCAGTACTGGGGCAGTTTTGTGCAATATAAGAAAGATATTAAGTCATTAGAGAGTGTCCAAAGGAGGGCAACAAAGATGGGGAAGGGCCTTGAGGGGAAGCTGTGTGAGGACACTGAGGGCACTTGGTGTGTTCAGCTGGAGAAGAGGAGACTGAGGGGAGACCTCACTGCAGTCACAACTTCCTCATGAGAGGCAGAGGAGGGGCAGGCACTGATCTCTGCTCTGTGGGACCCGTGATGGGACCTGAGGGAATGGCCTGAAGTTGTGTCAGGGCAGGGTCAGGTTGGATCTCAGGAAAAGGTTCTTCCCCCAGAGGGTGGTTGGGCACTGCCCAGGGCAGTGGTCACAGCACCGAGGCTGCCAGAGCTCAAGGGGCATTTGGATGACACTGTCAGGCACATGAGCTGGTCCCGTGCAGGTCTAAGGGTTGGACTTGATGATCCTCGTGGGTCCCCTCCCCACTCGGCACATCCTGTGGGATCAGTGGGTTCTTACCTCGGTGATCCGGGGGTTGGAGCACTTGACGTTGCGGCTGGACCAGTCGAGCCAGGGCTGGGCCGAGGGGGAGCTGCAGTGGGGCCTCAGGGTGCACTTGGCCTCCCCACTGCACCAGCCACACTCGAATTTGGGGTCGGCCTTGAGGCAGAGCCCGCAGCTCTCGCGCTGGGCCGCGCACTTGTAGAGGTGCACTGCGGAGAGAGGGGAGGGACACGCGGGGCAGGGTCAGGAATTGAGACCTGGAATTCACCTGCGCTGCAGCCGCTCTCGGACTTACAACCCACAGCACGTGCTGAGTTCGGGCTTAACGAGCCGCAGAGTGGCTTCCAAAAGGGGGTTTCCAAAGCCACGGTGGGATCAGTGGGGCTCAGTGAGCAGCACGAGCAGCGGAGCTGTGGAGCTGCTCCCCTCCACAGGATGATCCACAAGGATCACGACATCTCTGCCTGCAGCCACAGATGCTGCTCTGCCCCAACAGCCCCTCTCCAGCCCCCACCTCCACCCTCCTCCCTGTGGCTTGAAGCCAGTTTGAGCCGACATTACCTTTCAGATCCTCCGGGTTGTCAATAACAAAGTTCCCATTCCAAACCACGGCAAAGTCCACGGCTAAGTTGCTGATGTCCATCCCATCATAGAGGTACTGCAGGAGAAGATGGAGAATGAGATGTTTGGGAGAATGAGTCTAACAGGAAAAGAAGGTTTTTTTGAAAGAAACCATCATTATTCTCTGCTTAAAAACACGTGCTGGTGCCTGAGACACCACATTTCTACACTTCAACTCCAGGGTTCTGCTTTGACTCCCTTGTCCTCACTGGGAAGAGATAATTAAATCAGATCTAGTCCTTGTGAGAGGTAATAGATTAATTATTCCACTCACAGTGGTTGCTCTTGTCACTCGGTCTCTAGCTTATCAATACAGCCCCTCCAGTTAGTCAGACTGGGACTGCTGCCTTCAGGCTGTCTTCTTCCACAGTCACTGTGCACCCCAGTGTGAGTGGGAGCTTAAAAATCCCACTGCAGAGCTTTGGCTAATGGAACAGGCACCATCTGAGCAAAAATAGATGCTGCAGGGAGGTCCTTTCCCAGCCACTGTTTCAGCCCAGACTAGGGTAGCACTGGCTTGAATTACTGCCCTTCTTATGGACACCCTGGGGGCCGTGGCTGAGTGAATGTGGAGGCTTTAGCTGAATTCCCAGTGTATTCTGAAATTCCCATTATCACAACCAGCACTGATGAGGCTTCAGTCCGATGCTCTCTCTAAGTCAACCAAGAGCTGCTAAAAAGACTTAAAAAGGTGAGGGAACATTGCTATCCTCTTTGGGATGAGGGGGTGGTGAATAAAGCAAGGCAGACTGCTCTGACTGTCCCTGTGCAGTAGTTGTGCAGTTTGAACTCACATTTGGCTGTACTGAGTCACCTTGCCTGGGTTTTACTAAGTTGGTGTGAAACAAGATCTTCTGTTCAAGTGATGGAGCTGTGAGTTCAGAATTGCCCTTACATCCTCTACCTACCACTTCCTATTAGCCTAACAGCAATAAAAGTGCTTCTCTAACGTTTATAAATCACTTTGGATAGGAAAAGTACTCTATAGTATTAATACATTTATTATCCACCGAGCTGCAAGGCCCAAAGATGGTCAGTGATGTATAAATATCCAGTGAAATTTTTAAAAATTCAAAACTTCATTAACAATTTAAGACCATCTGTGCTGAATATTCAAGTGGACCCTGTTCTGCTGCCTAAAACAAACTGCCTGTGCCCTGTTTGCCCACGGACCTCTTCGAGCACATGGTGAGGAGAGGAAGGACCTGCTCATCCCAGAGCTGTAGAGTGTCACAGGAGACCCAAATGCGGGCTGTGGCTCAGGGTAGGGGGTGACCTGCATTTTCCATGCGTGTTTTGGCATCCCCAAGTACCTGCTGTGGTGACTTTGGGGTGTTGGGAAGTAAAATCCTGCCATGTCCATTGGCAGAGCTAAGCCTCATCCTACAGAGGAGTGTTATCCTCCCCTGCCTGCTGCTCCAGCAGCATCTCTCAGGTAATTTCCCTCTCTCCACTGTGCTCTGCTCTCTCCCCTGGCAGTTTTCCTTTCCCCCTCCTTCCCTGCTTTTCATTTTCAGCACCACTCTATTCATCCAGGCACCCAGACCTGGAATTCGACAGCTCCCCGATAAGGGGTCTGTGATTCTCCTTATCTCCCCCCCCCCGTGAATTAGCCTGCCTGAACACCTCCCGCATCCCCTCCTCCTCCCCTTCCCCTCGCTGACCCCCCGCAGGCGGGCAGGGAACCGCCAGCTATCGGATCTTCGCTGCGATTAAACACCTCGCAGGCCCACGGCACCTCCTCGCTCCCACCTGGAATTCGGGATTAGTTAAACTCCAGGACTTTTCACTCCCTTTGGAGCTGACCCCCGGTGTTTGGCGCGTTCCCTCACCGAGCTGTTCTGGCACTGGACGCTGGAGCTGTTGAAGCGCAGGGCGGGCACGCGGTGGATGACGCCCTGGATGCTGAGCACACACTCGTACCCGCGCTGCCCCGACTGCGGCTGCGGCAGGTTCCTCGCCTTCAGCGTGATGGGTTTCACCTCTCCCACCGGGATCAGGATCTCCTCCGTGGGGAAGAGCTGGGGACAGTCCTGGGAGGGTGATAAGGAGAGAAGGAGGTTACGGCGGTGACGGTGCACCCGCGGGTCTGACCGGCTCTCAACCCACCCGCTCCGGTGGCAGGGCTGATGTCCCAGCACATCCCCAGTGCCCAGGACACGCCACTCCCCAGCCCAGCTACAGTTTAATTGCACGAATAAAGGAATCCCCATGACAGCCCCTCTGCCCTGGGGCTGGCACTGATTTCCTCATTGCAGCTGTAGCAGGAGGAACGCCCTATTTGGGGATAAATCCAAGGTGTCCTCCCCGCTCCGAGCTTGCCGTGGGTTTTATCTGCGGAGCCAGAGGCTCTTGCCGTGCCCTCCTGCAGCAGCACAGCCCTTTATCAGCTGCTCCAGCTCTGCTGAGCCCCACTGCTCTGGAGGGAGATGGGCTGCTCCCAGCCACAGGCTGCACTCCCTGGGCCTCCTCCTAATCCCATTTCACTCCTCACACCCCTCGGTCTGTGCTGTGCTGAATGAGACGGATCAGCCTGGGATGTGCTTCCCTCTCCCCACCAGGCAGGCACTGTTCCGCTCTGCTTTATCAGAGGTAAATTAGGCCAACGTGCCATTAATTTCTGAGGTGACATTAAGTTCTGCTCTATCTGCTCTCACCCCTCACCACGCTCCAACACCTCTGCCTTCCTGAAACACACGCCCAGCTCTCTGGAATGCTCCTGGGCTGTGGCTGGCATGGCCTTTCCCTTGGCTGAGGAGTGCCTGGGTGGGATTTGTGCCTCTGCCAGCTGGGTGGGCAAAGCACCCGACCCAAATTGCCCTTTCTATCTCTAAATCTTAGAATGGTTTAGGTTGGAAGGAACCTTAAAGATCACCTTGTTCCAACCCCCTTGTATGAGCAGAAACACCTTCCACGAGCCCAGGTTGCTCCAAACTCTGTCCAACCTGGCCTTGGACACTTCCGGGGATGGAGCAGCCACAACTTCACTGATAAGGGTGGTTTATTTTTACTTCTGCCATTATCTGGCCAAAATAATTAACTGCAAATTAATAGCAAGTTTTAATATTGTTGCAGCTCAAGACCTTGCTGTGCAAGATGCTGCATGAAAAATAAAAGGAAACTCCCTGCAAACACTGGAGGACCCTGGCACAGGTTGCCCAGAGAATCTGTGGTTGCCCCATCCCTGGAAGTGTCCAAGGCCAGGGTGGACGGGGCTTGGAGCATCCTGGGCTAGTGGAAGGTGTCCCTGCCCACGGCAGGGGGTGGAATGAGATAAGCTTTAAGGTCCTTTCCAACCCAAACCATTCTGTGATTGATGAACCACCACTGCACAAATGAGCAGATCTCCAGTTCCCCACGAGCACAAATGAGATGTCTAAATGAAACTCTGAGATGAACCACAAAAAAATGACCTATCAGTGCCTGGTACCTGTATGACATCCCTCCCATAAGATCTCAGCATCCTAAACATTATCTCTGCACAACACACCGGGAAATACAGTTTTTCTTCCATTTCCATACCGGGAAATGCAACAGACTGAGACAAAGGCTCTGACCATCAGAAGTATTTACATTCTGTTCAGCTCTAATTTGCTTTGATCTAATGGAACAAGGTACCTAAGTACCTGTAAGCACCTGACACTAAATGATTAATCCCAAGCTAAAGTAGGAGTTTGAGAAAACACGGACGTCTCCCTTCCCTCTGCCAAATCCCAGACCTTTGCCACCCAGCCTAGTGATGAAAGGAAATCATCCTGGTGGCAGTGCAGGGAGAGCCATCCTCACCAGGATTCCACTAGGACTGTGTGTCCAGGGGGAAAATCCCCATCTCTCCCTGATGGCCACAACCTGTGCCAAGCCACACTCCCTCTCCAGCTCACAGCCAGGGCCATGGGATGTTGTTTCACTACTGGCTCAGGCGAGTTGTAAATGAGAAACAGATGCTACCCTGGTTTGGAGTAACTTAAACCACTGCCTCATAAACCTTTTTAGTGGCACTTTTCCTTATATATATTTTATTTTATTTCTAACAGGGACTTTCACGGATTAACAGCCAAGAGTGATTTTAAACTCCATCAGCCAGAAAGTGGCTACACTAGAGTGGGAAGAAAAGTCCTTTTCTGCAGTGGAGTGGGTTTACAGGCTGGAAGGGAATGGCATCACCTGGTTCCCACAGACCTTGGTACTGTGGATCCAACCCCCAGCTCAGCCTTTGTGCTACCACCAGCAAACTCCTAGGACTCCTGGCGTTTTCCATCCACTGCCAGCCCTTCCAAGCTGATTTTCCACACACATTCCTTCCTCCTCCTTATGCACCACACGCCTGTACCACCTTCCACTCAATATCTGGCTGCATTTAAGCTTTTGCATTTAACCTCAAAGTCACATCGAGGACCGACAGGAGACAAATATCTCCGCTCCAGAGAGGTCCCCAGCCCCGTGGAACGCCCGCGTTTGGAAGGAAAAGCATCCTGGAGCCACTGAATCTTTTACCCCATTACGACCGAAAACAAAAAAATCTCCAGTCACATCGCCAGTGGGAGAACCTCAGCTCACAGTCCTGAAAATAATGAATATGTTATGGACCATTATCCTTCCTGGCCAGCGCCGTCCGTGAGGCGACTGCTAAAGAAACGCTCCTGCCTTGGGAGACACAGGGAGAGAGGACTTACATTTCCAGATCTGCTCTCTGGTGCTGAAAATGCTGGTAGCAAAAATCGTTCTGCCGTCATTAGAGATGAGTGGGACATAATAGATATACTTTTTTTTCCCCCCCTCTTTTGGTTTCAGTGGAAGGAAAATGTCACACGGGGGTGGTGGGGAAGGCAGGACAGGCGGCCCCAGAGCGCACTCGAGGACGCACCAAGCGAGGCAGCCCCTCTGTGTTGGCTGACAGCTACAATGATCACACTAATAAGGGATGTACATTTTGGGGTGAGGGGATATGTAGGAAGATGGAAAACTCCTGGGGAGCCACGTTGCTGCGGGCAGTTGCTGCTGAATTTATCAGAGGAGCGAGCAAAGCCGCAGGAGCTGCTGGGGCTTGCGGAGGGCACAGGAGGGCTGGGAGGTCTCTGCCTTGTTGGAACCCCTCTCCTACCTCTCTGTGCCATTTCCCATCCCGCCTCATTGTTCAGCCTTCAGGCCTTTTCTTTGTAATTTGTTTTTTTTAATTGCTGCCACAGTGGTGCACACCCATGTCCTTGCACACCCACATCCCTGCTCACCCACATCTCTGCACACCCAAATCTCTGCACACCCATGTCACTGCACATCCATGTCCCTGCACATCCCCATCCCTGTACAGCCACGCCTCTGCACACACAAATCCCTGCACATCCAGATCTCTGCACACCCACATCCCTGCACACCCAAATTCCTGCACATCCAAACCCCTGCACACCCATGTCCCTGCACACTCAAATCCCTGCACACCCAAACCTCTGCTCACCCAAATCCCTGCACACTCATATCCCTGCACACCCAAATCCCTGCTCACCCAAATCTCTGCACACCCAAATCCCTGCACATCCAAACCACTGCTCATCCAAATCTCTGCACACCTAAATCCCTGCACATCCAAACCCCTGCTCACCCACATCCCTGCACATCCAAACCCCTGCTCACCCACATCCCTGCACACCCAGCCCTTCCCACGGCGAGTGTGTGAGCAAGTTTGGGTCTCACGTGGGTGCTCTTGCAGCAGCACCCAGGTCCCACCCTGCACACACAGAGCTGCAGGGGTTGTTGCTGCAGGAAAACAGCCTGGCAGGGTGGTTTGTCCACTCACCACCTCTTCTACCTGTTCCCTGATCTAAAAGCATGAATTATTTTGTTAGGGTATATCATCAGCCTTAGCAATGCCTCTGTCTATGCTTATTGCCTTTACAGGAATTTTGTGATGAGCTGGGAAGTGGTTGGCAGCACCAGTCCTGCTGCAGGGATCAGAACTGTGTGGATGTGGCCAAAATCCCTCGTGGTGGTAAATAACAAGAGCATCTCTGGCTTGTCGGGCTCAGCCTGGGTGCTCCATTCTGCATTTCATCCCCAGGAAGAGCTAAACACCCAGAAAATACCATATAAAAGCAAGACTGCAGCCGGTGGAACACACAATTTGTTCCGTAATCAGTTTACTTTGTTTTTTAATTCACGAGAAGTAAATCCTGCAGTGAGTTAGAAAGGCCATTATCGCCTCCTCTCGCTAAACAAACACGTCGAATCCTCTCATTATCCTCCTTGACTTCCCTGCACCAGAATAAACACAAATCGGAAGATCTGCAGGAGAAAGACAAGGCTCGACGAGTGAGCGGCACAGACTCTCGGGGAATATTCTGCCTGTGAAGTATCATCTCGCCCAATTTACAAAGACATTTTCTGCTTCTCCAACACTTTTTAGCCTCAAAGACTCCAAGGTCTATAAATACCTTAAAGACCCTCGACACGCAGCTGTCTCTGGAGCAGAACAGAGCACCCATGGTTATTATTTGTGTTTAACTGAGCAGTTTTAGTAGGTCAAACCTCCTTGCTCTTATTTGGAAAAAATTGCTTAGAAATGGCAGGCAATTCTTTTGACTATGGGATTTAGCCCAAATGGCAGAAAATAGACTGTTTTCATACTTTTCATCTCAAAAAAAACCCCCACAAACTCTCCACAAACGTTAACTTGATACACATATTTCAAAGTTTTAAACATAAACGAATCTGGCACGTGAATGTAAAGCCCTGGCTCGCAGTTGTGTTCCCAATGATATAAATTACAGTGCCTGTCACTCAGGGAAACACATTATCCTTCATTTATGCCACTGGAAAGGAGAGCAGACCTTGCTCCTTAGAAACCAGACATGAAAGAAGGGCAGCTGGAGCCAAACCTTTCTCCCTGCTAAATTCCTCCCCAACAGCACTTAGTCCTGAGCCCTGTGCTGAACACACGTGCTGTAACCTGGGTCTTCTTCATTAATTTGAGATATTTACAGCCATGGAAGGCTGAAAATCTGATTTCTCTCCCATAAACAACCCTCTGTGTACCAGAGGTGAGGGCAAGAGCAATTCCCTTGCACACGGACAGGTTACAGGTAGGAACACATCCAGAGCTCTTCCCTGCCTGGCTCCTTCCCCTCTCAACACACCCCAAAAAAGCTATGGATGAAAAAATGCCAATAGGCTCAGAGATGAGTTAATTTTGCTGAAGCTGGGCTTTTTGTTGCTATTTCAGGCAAAGCCACCTCTCCAAAGTTAGATGTGACCCAGCAAAGTCATTTGCTGACTTTGGTGGCCTGAGATGTGGCTCAGAGTTCCCTCCTGCACATCACAGCTCCCACATGGTGGGGATCATCAGGACAGACACGAGGAAGGCTTAGTTTGGGTTTGTTCCCTTCAAGGCACATCAAGCAGCACTCAGCATCCAAGGGCACAGCCAGGGGCAAAGGCACTGCTCTAAAATCAGTGGGAATTTAAAGGAGTCAGACCAGAGCTGAAATCTGGCTCAGCAAAGAACTCCCAGAATCTGAAATGTTCCATCCCCAAATCAGCATCCTGCATGTGGAAATGGCATTATCTGCACACGGTGGACATCAAAGAGGGATGGGATCCCACATTCTGGGAAGCTAATAGGATTTATTTGGTTCTAGCTCTCCACTGGGGTGGGGTGTGAGGATATATTTATCTACATTCCTCCTCATCTGAAAGTTTCAAACATATAGAGACATCTTACAGCCTTGCACACACACAACCACCTCAGACACATAAACCCAGATCCCACTGGCCTGATCTGAAGCTTTGGAAAGTGAGACAATCAGTGCTACAGGAGTCATGACACTTCTTGAAGAAAGTGGCAGCAAGTCACCCCCAGACCTTTGCCTTCCCATGGCCCTCTGGATGGCAATGTCCAAGCAGGCACATTCTGCTGACAAATGAAGCCTCAGGCTGAGAAAAGGCTGAGAAAATAGTTGCTTATTTAATTATTAACTCCCAAAGAACCAGCTACCTGGAAATGGAGAACTCAGTGGAGGAGGGTTCACCCCACATCAGAAACTTCCCATGGGATGGAGGATTCCTGTCCATAGGGCAGGTGGAGGGATGGAAAAACTCTCTAAGTCGTATTTTCATGGAAAGCAGGGCAAAAAAGCAGCATTTAGCTCAGTCAGCACAGCCAGAAGATCGCAAGGAGCAAGTGCACAGCTCATGAAGAGGGGCTTTCTTTCCCCCATCACCTCGTGGAGTGGCTGTGGCTTTGAGCTCCTTTTCCTCCTCGGGACAGACAACTCCTAAGAGCATCAAAGGGAGCTTGCTACACATGGAATCCCACTGGGACACAGACTCTGACGGGCCAGGAGTAAAAGGGAATATTCAAGATATTTTTCTCTTAAATTAAATATAAAGGCACGAGCAGATTTCCAAGCCCGTGTGAACACGTGTGTGGCTCTTGCGTAAGGGGAGGCCCAGGGGACTGTAAGTAGGGCAGGGCTGAGGCACTGCCACGGTGATCACCAGCTCCAAACACCACTGGGAGGGGAGTGATGGTAAGCACAGACAACTTCCTGATACATCAGGCCACGACACAATAGAACATTGTGATCTGGATTGGTTTAGGAGAGGAAACTCTCTCTGAGGCACTTATTTCACCTCTGTGTTGGCAGGAGGGAAATGCCCCTCATAAAGGCATTAGCACTGCACTGGGTGCAATCCACCGGCCTTCAATGAGCAAACAAGTTTATTTGAGTGGCTGGTTTTGCCTGGGTTCAGAGGTCTGGAGGAGTCCTGATGAACAGCCTGTATCATTATCATCAGCCCTTATCAAAAGCAATCCCCAGGGAGGTGTTTGATATCACAAAACATCCCCTGGTAAGAAACAACCTTCTACAAGATGAAGACGATGGAGGAAGTTCTTTGGAGACACGACAGTCCTGTGATCCCAGCAGGAACTGGCAGACAGACCAGCTCCTCCACTCCCTTCCCTCAGGCAAGTCCTGTGTGCTCCCAGGAGAAAAACAGAGATAATGGGATTGTCCTACTTTACCAGAGACTTGTCAAACACTTCTGAGATCATGGGGGTGAAGACCTATAGAAGGGAGAACTAGGACTGTAAAGCCTGGGAAGGCAGCGATGCTTTGAGTGTGAAGGAGAAAAAACCCCACATCACTCAAGAGGAGGAGAAGCAAAGGATTTTCTTTCTCTTGATATGTTGAAAGGAAGTCTCTTGACTTTGAACTGGATTGAGGAAGCTTTTGCTTTGTCCTCGGGGTGGATGCTTCTCCTTGGACATTCATTCCAATCCCTCGCTAGCAGCACTGCCTGCTCCCAGTCACGCTGCCCATGCCTTGGATCTTGCAGATTCCCACTGAGGTATTTACACAAGCAGTTCATAAATGTCTCTTGCCTTGTATCTCCTTGTCCCCTGGCAGCATTTTAACCAGGGACACCCAGGAGTTAAGTTTACTGTTGGTTTAGCAGCAACCTGGCAGCTTCGGTGGTCACTTCCTTTTAACGACTCAGTGTTTACTCCACTGACTGATCCCTTCTTTTCTCAGTCTCCATTACTCACTCATAAGGGTTTGTCTTGCTGCTGGCAAACCTTCCTCTCCTTTCTTTCCTGATACATGTGGATGTCCTCACTGCTGCTTTTCCCACTTTCCAAGACACTCGGGATTTTCAAAGCACCTTTTAAACCATTTTTTTCCCTTTCAGCTTTAGGACCTGCACTCACTTCAGGCACTACAAAGCTTCATGCAGGAACAGCAAGGGCAAAAACCAGGGCCCTGCCAGCATCAGGGGCTGTAGCTGCTCTGGACTTCATGAACATGGAGCAGGCAGCAGCCTGGGAATCAGACAGGACAGGGGTGCAGGAAACCCAGAGCAAGGGGTTAGTGGCAATGTTCAATGAGGAATTTGTGCTAACAAACCCCTTTCCTTCCTGGATCCCTCTGCCCTGGGACGCACAGAAGAGCTGGCAGAGCCATTAACGGGCTGTGCCTCTTCTGACTGTTAAAAGCATTTTTGGATTTGAGCCCCACACCTTTTATGAGCTGCTAAGAGAGATGGCTCCTGGTCCACAGCACTGGAACCCGAATCCATTCTCTTTTCCAAAATCTGGGGCTGTGCACATTGGTAATTCCCTCCTTAATCAGTTTACAGTCAGTCTCCTGCCATAAATTCCAGACCTGCCAACACAACCCACTGAACAGTCCCAGCAAGACCTGCTGCTGGCCAGCAGGCAAAACAAACCCCTGCACACCAGCAGAGCTGCTGAAAGGTGCTGGCTTTTGAGGAGCCTTTGAGACCCCTGAAGGAAAAGCACCACAGTAATTATCACTATTAATGAACCTGGGCATTCCCACAGAGCAGAGGCAGGGCCAGCTTTGGTGTTCAGCTCAAGAACATCACTTCAGTCAGACTAACACTTGTTGCTCCTTTAAAGCTGCATCTACACCTCTCGATGCCAAAGAGACCCGTGGGAAGTCAAAAAACCTCACGTAAATATTTGTTGTGCTACTCGTGCCATAGAAAAGCAAAGAACAAAGGGATGAAATGCCAGTCTGGTACCTCAGAGATGTTGATCCTCCCCTCCTGGAAGGAGCACGTGGTGGGGTCGTGGGTGCAGAGGTTCCTGTACTTGCACCAGTGGCAGCGGAAGGCGCTGTTCACACAGGACAGGCACCTGGGGGGAGAAAGGAGAGCTCAGCACACACAGGTTATCCCCCTGGGAGGTCTGCATGGTTACAGACAGGCCTTGCCAGAAATCCTTCACGGGGAAAACAGTTTCTTTGGGAGGATGTTTCGATAGGACAAAAAAGTAACAATCAGGTCTGGGAAAACACACGCTCCAAAGTGTCCTTTAGGCAACCTCGCAATTCACTCCGTAATAAAATGCCAGCTGGGATTTATTGCACATCGTTGGACTGGCATAGAATAAAGCACGACATTGCACAGACACACCAGGCTTGGTTTTCAGTTTTTAGAAAGTGGAAAACAAGGCAAGCCTGGCAAAAATGGGATCAGTTGTTTTACAGGTCAGGAATGCTCCAAGTCAACGGCAACACTTCTGCTTGGCCTCGGAGTGCAGAGAGTCCAGCAGGCCCTTTTGCTTCATGTCAGAAAAAAATTAACTGTTTATGAAATGTTTTTGAAAGAACACAGACCCTTTTCAGACCCTGAGGGCCCAGCTGCCAGCAAACTGCTGGGTGGGTTTTGTTCCCCACTAACTGCTGCCAGAGAGAGGCAGGATCTGTGACAGCTGCTAATATTCACAAGCAGCCACCTCCTCCATCTCCGAGGCCACCCCTCTGTGCCACGTGGCAGCGTTTTGGTGACAGTCTGCTGGCAGAGCTGTGCCCATGGGATTCAGCTCTGCATCGCAGCTTGTGGCTCCAGAGACTGTGGTGCTGCCCAGACTGGGCAGTGCCCAGGGCAGGGATGGGCTGGAGCAATCCCAGGGTCAGCACAGACAGAGGAGCATCACCAGGGAAGTGGGAGTGTGGCTTTCAGCACTCTTAAAGTGATCTTTAACTCTGGGAAAGGAGGAAACCAGGTCTCAGTGGCTCTTGCCAGCTGGGCACAGGGACAGGGGCAATGCCTCCTGTGCGCTGCTGCCACGAGAACGTGTTTTAATAACTCAATTGTGTTCTCCTTCTGATGCTTTCATAGTGACCTTAATAGCTAAGGAAGCTTATTCTAATCATGCACATGCAAATCTGGGGGAGAACATCAAGAACTGCAAAGCTTATTTAATTACTCATTTGTCTGACCCATTTCTGTCTCTGTTGGATCTCCAGCACTTTGCCCACCTGCCCTTACCTGGCACGGCCCTGGTGTCCAGCATTCCCAGCTGGGACTGGTGGGGCTCTCTGTTTTCCCTCTGAGGGAGGAGGATCTCTCTGACCACCCAGGCCAATGGCTTGGTTTGGCACCTCTCACTGTTCCGTGGTTTCTGTGGTTTCCTGGCTGCTGCTTTCAGCTCTGCCCAGCCCTGGCAGTGGGACAAGGGGCTCCCGAGCTCCCAGACTTACACCAGGTCACCACCTTTGCTTTTTCATCTTGATCCAGCTTTCTCAAGAACTTAAGTCTCTCTGTTGCCTCAAAAAGTGCATCTCTCCACCTCATCCAGTCCTTACCAAAAGACACGTAACAGAGAAGGTTCCCTGACCCACCTGCAGCTCCCTGGGGACACAGAATTCACACACCTGAGCCCTGAACCACCTCAGCCTATGGGTTCCCAACAGCTGGATCCAGCACGGGAGGGTTCACAGCACCAGTCTGCAAAAGCAGCACGTTCCTGTCCATCCCCAAACCCCTCCTGCCCCTAATCTTTCCCTAATGCCACCTCCCAGGGGCACATCCTTCAGACACCAGAGCCCCAGAAGGGCTCGGCTGCTCCCCAGACACCTTCCCCATGGCAGTAAAGAGCCTCAGGATCAATAGATGTCTCCTCTCTGCTGGCTGAGCCCTGTATTCCTGCCTCCTTTTTGCAGGCTGTGATTCATCCCTGCCAGGCTGGCTCGTGCCCTTGTTGAACTCCCTGATAAAAAGTCCAGTGTGATGTAAGTGCTGCAGAATTTACCACCCTGCAAGCACTTTATCTCCAAACACAAGCTGGGAGAAAGGCACGGCCACATGAAGCCAGATGACAGGCCAGGAAGGATGTATTGCCTCTCCTGATCCAAGCCTCAGCTCCTCACTGAAAACAGGGGGCCCTGGAATGCTATTCCTCATGCAAATTCCAAACCAGGAGAATGCAGGAGAGTCTGGGGAGACTGCAAGTGCTGGCAGCAGAGGAGAGGCTGGTGCTGCACAGCCTGAGTGAGTGACAAGGATCTAAGGACAGAGTTGTGCATGAGGGGTAGCAGGACAGGAGGCAGGAGTTATTTGGGTTATGGACAGAGACCACCACAGGCAGCACTGCAGGACTCACAGGGCTCCTGCCATCCCAGTGCCTCTGCTCTGTGCTGTGGCTCACAACAAAATTAAAATCCCAAATGGATGCATGCCTAGAAAAACCACAGGCCAGCCAAGCCCAGCAGCACACAAACCCTCTTCCAAGTGCAGCAGAAAGGCCCCGTAGCTTGAGGCTTCAAACCCAGCACAGAAAGACTGGGAGTGACCCTGCACTGGCACTTGGTGACCCCAGCAGCACACCAGGCTCCAGGGCAGTGCTGGCACAGGAGCTGCTCCCAGCCCTGCCTTTCCCCATCCAGCTGCTGGCAGGTCCTGCCCACAGTCCTTTCAGGTGCTTTAGAGCTTGCTTTGTTTCCAGAGAGAAATCCATAAACGCTTCAGGTCTGTAAATGTGTTTTTAAGGCCAGCCAGCTGCCTGCTGCCTTCCAGCAGCAGACATGCCCGGGGGGGATGTATTTCCATGATCCTCAGCAGCACTGAGCCCTCCAGCCCTCCAGGGAGCAGCCCACTGGGCCTGATTCCTGCCTGGGTTGCAGCCCACCCCCCTCTGCCTGCACCCACCTCCCCCCTGCCTGCACCCACCTTTCCCTGCCTGCACCCACCTCCTCTCTGCCTGCATCTACCCCCCCTCTGCCTGCACCCACCTTTCCCTGCCTGCATCTACCCCCCCTCTGCCTGCACCCACCTTCCCCTGCCCGCAGCCATCTTCCCCTGCCTGCACCCACCTCCCCTCTGCCTGCACCCACCTCCCACCACCTGCAACCCACCTGTCCCTGCCTGCAATTCACCTCCTGCTGCCTGAAGCCCCACCCTGCTGCCTTCAGCTCAGCTCCCAGTACCTGCAGCCCCCCTCCCAGTAACTAGAGCTCGTCTCTCGCTGCCTACAGCCCACCTCTCCTGCTGCCTGCAGCCCACCCTGTTGCCTGCAGCCCACCTCCCACTGCCTGCATCCTCCTCCCATTACCTGCAGCCCCCTTCCCCCTGCCGGCAGCCCCCCTGCCCAGCCCCTCTGCTCTGCCTTCCCCCGCTCCCTGCGAGGCTGCAGCCGAGTTCACAGTTGCGGGCTGGCGCAGCTTGGGGGCACCAGCAGGTTGAGGTTGTTCCAGGCTCGCTCCACCTGCGGCTCCCAAGGCACAGAAAGCTCCACCAGGCACCCGGAGCTCGGAGCAGACACGGAGTGCTGGCTCCCCTTGCACCCCGCGTGTGTGCTGGCTGGACCAAGCGGTGTGATAACCCCCCCACAGATGGTCCCGCAGCCCACCACCCATTTCCCAGGGCTTTTGTCGAGTTTTTGGCTCTGCTGGGGCCAGGGAGGGAGCACTCACAGCTGGTGGGCGCTGCAGTTGTAGAACTTGAACTCTGTGCTGACGAACGTCCTCCCCGTCTCCTGCGACCTCAGCTGGAGCACGACCCCGAACCAGTCTGGGGAGGCAAAGCAGAGCCTGTCAGTCCTGCCAGCAGGAATGGGGGAAGCAACACCAGATGCAGGGGCACCCGCTGAGCCCCCTGCTGCTGGGGTACAAGGTGAACTCAGGCTGCTGCCATTCCCTGCTCCCCCAGCCATCAGGACCCCCACCCACACCCCCCTTGGCTGGACCCCACCCTCCAGCACCCCAGGCTGCTGGGCTGGTTGTCTCCAGCAATGCCTCCCAACCAAAACAAAAATTCAGTGTATTCTGAGAAGCAGCCCAAGACAGGAACCACAGAATCACAGAAGGGTTTGGGTTGGAAGGGAAAAATCATCTCATTCCAACCCCCTGCCATGGGCAGGGACACCTTCCACCAGACCAGGTTGCTCCAAACCCCATCCAGCCTGGCCTTGAACACTTCCAGGAACTGGGATCCACAGCTTTACTGAGCATCACCTCCTAGAACCATCTCCTAGAATAGGAGACACCGCTGGAAACAAGTGAAGCTCTTCAGGAGCCTCAGCACTGGGTTAATTAAGAGCAGATTGCTCTTCTGGAGTTACTGTGGGCAAGTCTAACCTGGCCCTGCTACCCTGGGGCTCTGGGCCCCCAGTGTTCACCAACACTCAGGCACCATAAAATGCCTCAGAAATACAAAGATATCAGCAGGGAAGCCCCGCTGGCACCTGGAAGGATGCCAAGGAGAAAATGAGTTTTAAGCGAGCAGCGTTTTGGTTACAGGAAGAGAAAACACGACAGCAGTGACATTAATGAAGAAACAACCTCAAGATCGGGACCAAAAAAAATTGAAACTGCATCCACCTACCTGTGGGTGCTCAGCCAGGGCTCCTGCTTTCCAGATTCACCCAGTTTGGCACGGCTGAAAGCCCCTGCCCACTCATGAGCCACCCTGGAGGGGACAGACAGCTCCTGTCCTGCCTTGGGAGCTGCCTGGCAGCGCAGGGAGGGTGTAAAGACAGGGCAATCATGTCCTGCTGCCTGCTCCCAGCCTATCCTTCCCTGTGTGGGATGCATTTCTAAAGGATGGAGTGTATTTAGCTCCCTGGGTTCAATAGCCTTTGACAGGAGCATGAATTTCTCCAGCAGCAGCCCCAAAGGCTCTGCTCCACCCAGAAAACACTGCCAAACCCGCTCGGCGCTGTCTGGTGGCACAGACGTCACCAGGAGTCAGTGACTTACCTTGATCCACGGGGATGGCAGGAACATCTTTGGCTGGTGGTGACACACACACCACCTGGCTGCCCGAAACCTGCCCTTCCACCTCCGTCAGGTTCCCGAAGAGGCAGGTGACCCCGGCTGTCAGGTCTGGGGCATCACTCACCAGCAGGCTGAGCTGCAGCGGGGACAGGAGGGAACACAGCAGCCAGAAAATCAGTCAGCAGGCAAATCTGCCCGAATTTCCTTCGTCTTTCCAGTCCCTGCTGCTTTCCCATTCTGTGCAACCCCCTTAAATTACTCACCTGCCCACGGGAGGTGGTCAGATGCCCTTTAATGAGGAGGAGGAGGTTCTTTATGGATAAAAGCCCACCCTGCTGAGCCTTTGGGCGCTGCAGGTCAGGAGTGGGGCAATGGCAGATTTTTGGCCCGTGGTTGCCCTACAGAAGCATTGCCACCCCCAATGCCTGTGTAGCTGTAGCAGCAGCAGTGTGTTCCCTCTCCTGCATGAGAGCAGCAGTGACCATCCCAAAACCCCTCTGCTCAAACCACCTCCCTGCCCCACGGCATGACCGGGAGAGACCCCCCTGCCCCGTGTCCAGTAGGAATGAGCACAGTCCCATTGATCCCATCACAGATGGGGACTATCCCCATGGCATAACAGTCCCTGGAGGCCTCCCAACAGCCCTCCACTATTTCCACACGGAGTGTCAGGAGGGCATCCCAAGAAGGGGAGGCAGCAAAGCCAGGACCCAGCTGCCATGGGGTGCTGGGGGGCTCCAGCAGCAACAGCTGGGATGCTTCGGAGAGCCAGGCCTGAGCACAGCTCACAGATGAGCCTTTTGGGAAACAAAGCCTTTCCTTTCACCAGCTAACGAAACCAGACCAAGAGAAATGTGAGCTGAGGCCCGAGGGGAAGGGGAATTTGTTTCTGCCACCCCCTCTTGCCCGGCTCGGATGACCCCTTTGCTCCCCAGCCCCTCTGCGAGCCTGACTTCATGAGAAAACACTTGTGCCAAGGCTGGAGAACGGAGTGTTCACTGCGAGCCTGGAAAATGCTGGAAGTGGTTCTGGAAGTGGCTCTGGAAGCCCACCCCCCCCCCTGCTTACCGGGAGGCTGTGCTCGGACACGGAGATGCTGCTGGGCTGCACCGTGACGCTCAGGCACTGGCTGATGCTGCCTGCGAAGCGGAAGGGCTCGTGGGCTCGCTCACAGCTGTCCCTCGGGGAGCACCTGCCACACAGAGACACGTCAGAGCACGGAAAACACCCGGGCAAGGTGTCCTGCACCAGCACCTGGGGATGCTCCGCGCCGGCACCCGCTGTCGGGCACCGGGGTGGGGCCGAAGGGCGTCGAAAAATGTCCTGTGAGCAGAGGAAAGACAAACCACAAGGATCTCGTGAGCTGCTCCCAGTCCTGCCTGCACTGGGACACAACCCAGAGCTCCGAGTGCCGGGGGTGACAGTGGGTGTGGGGGGTGTGGGCTGAGCCAGGCACTCTGCAGCCCACAAACTCCTCATCTGCACAGAAACCGAACCAGAAAACAACAAGATGATGCCTCTATTCTGACTAAAACAAAACCACATAGTTCACTAATCATCTCCTCCTGGAGACACAGCCAGGAACGGGACTTTCCAGCTGCTGCCAGCGGTGCTTGGCTGGTTTTCATGCCTTAAGCTCCCAGCTCTCTCCCATTCCCACCAGCAGGAATGCAAGCCCCAGAGCATGCCAAAGTGACTAGGACTGCTCCTAGCACGCTGTGTGCTCCAGGATGGCTCGTTATCCCTGTTTTTCTATTGCAGGTGTCCTTGGAGTTGAGTGACATTCAGTTGCTTCCAGCAGAGCACCCACCGGGAGACTAAGGAAGAATTATCAGTGTTTCAAACCAGATATCTGAGACTGCAGCACTGTCATCCCTCCATGATTTCCTATTTTATGTCGTCTGGGGGAAATCCTTTTCTTCCTGGGGCTGGAAGATGTATTTGTCTTTTGGTACTAATGGTGTCAATAAGCCACCAGCAAACTTTGTCCCTTTTCACTCCCTGCTGATCCTGGACCTGCTTTCACAAAGGCCGGTGGGTCGAGCTGCTGTTCCAGTCCCACCAGCAAGTTCCCTCTGATAGTTTCTGGAGCGTTCCTGGTACCTGAATTAACAAGGTCCTGCTGTCACACTGCTTGTTTCCCTGGCTCCCTGTGGAGCAGCTCCAGCTGTGCCAGACGCACAAACACGTCAGCAGAAACACGTCCAGCCCACGCAGAGGCTGCATTTTGCCATCACGCTCTGGCCACTGACAGAGGGGCAAAACCAGGCTCTGGAACAGCAGCACTGCTCACTGGTTTCACAGAGAAGCTGTGGCTGCCCCACCCTGGGAAGTGTTCTAGGTCATGTTGGGGGGGGTTTGGAGTAACCTGGGCTAGTGGAAGGTGTCCCTGCCCATGGCAGGGGGTGGGATGAGATGAGCTTTAAGGTCCCTTCCAACCCAAACCATTGTGGGATTCTGTGATTCTATGAAACAGTGGGACCAGGATCCTTCTCACGAGGCTGTTTGCTTTAGATTAAGATTAAGTGAAGTTTCCGCTTTCCCTTTCCAAACCACCTGTGTGATCCCTGGCAAATGGTGGTGCTGCTCTCCTCACCCTCTTGCTTTTAGTACCTTTTCCTTTGGAGCATAATGGAGCTAAATATGAATGCTGCCAAAGGAAGAATTATCGAGGTTTAAGTGAATCTGTAAGATAGCTTTAAAGTGAGCTCTTGACTGGAGCCTTTATCTCATTGACTCGCTGGAATGGCTCTTTTTTATCATACTATTTATGGCAGCAGCCCTAACAGAGATAAATAGGTCTGGAGACAATAACACACTTGCAGAGAGCAGCGTGTGGAAGCCTTGCAGGTTTGGGATCCCACTGGGCTGAAGAGACTCTTTAACAATCTCCTCAAGGCCTCTGATCGCTCCCAAAGAGCACTCGCTGCTTGTGGAAGAGGAAGAGCCAAGGATCTGCTCTCCTTGCAGAGGATGAACTTGCATGAGAAGCAAAGCTCTGGCAGGGAGGACACAGCAGAGGCTCCGGGCAGGAATGGGCTGCTCAGCCATTGCCTTCTGCCCCAGGGACCCCAAGATGAGAAGGGCTGTTTGGGAGAAGAACGAGAACCTTTCCCATCCTGCTGGTTTTTAGCACCTTCTCAAATGTCCTGCACCCAGAATTCCTCAAATCCCAGTGCTGCCCATGGCCACCACCTCATCAACCACTGGTTTTTGTGAGTTAATCTGCCTTGGGAATCTCCTGGTTCAGGTTCATGGCTAGAGCCTCCAGTGAGACCAGCTCCTGCTTCAGAGCTCCCTGATTTCGCCCTCACCCACACCTTATCCATCAGCATCACTACAACCACTATCCTGGAATTCCAGGTGTGCAAACACTCCCTGTGCCACAGAGCCTGAACCCTGACTGAGGCCTCCAAGAGACACCACCACCTACTGAGCACACAAGGAGAGCTCTGTGTAATATTGGACAATGAAACAGCCCCACACTTGCTCAGGCCATCAGCCACTCTCTTGCTCTTCCAAGGATTAAATCATCTCCTCTTCTGCCCCTCATCCTTTTAACACACCCTCCTTTTAGCCACCTTTCAGAAACCACAGTGTGAGCATCACACCCTGACATGCCACCCCTTCCACCGAGCAGCTGTTCTGGCTGGAGGAACGTGTAAGAATTAGAGGGGAGAGATGACAAATTAAATACAAACACTCCAGCACTTGGGGCCTCCAAACAAACACGACAGAGGCTTCAGGAACAGCGAGATAAACTCAATTATTTACAGCTTAAAACAGAAGCTAAGAAATGATCATCGCTCCAAAGTGCAGATGCTTGAAGGGAAGAGTTGAGAAATACCATCGGGGAAGGAACCCTTGCTGGGAATAGGTTAATGTTGAAATGTCATGGCCAAAAGGGCAGAGGAAATGACACTTTTCTCTCCTCTTGACATTGAGGGTTTTCTCTCTGCAAAATGAAGATAACAACCTTTACCTGCTTCCCAGGTGGCTTATGAAGATTCAGTTCATTAGCATTAGGAAAGTGCTCGGTGATCCTTGCAGAGGAGCTGCTGCAGGAGGCTGAGGAGCAGCACCAAGCACACCCAGCCACAGGTACTGAATGCAACATCCCCTCCCCATCCTGCACAGCTGTCCCAGCCTCTGGAAAGGCACACAGGGCACAGCCAAAGGGATGGGAATCCACAGGGGGTGGAAATCACTCCTTCTGACAAAGCAGCTGTGATAGCAAAGACTTTCAGACACAACTGCATGCAGGGTGGTTCAGCTGTAGGGCTGGACAGGCCTGTCTGAAAAAGAACAAGCTAAAAAAGACCCCAAATGATGCCCAGGGTGCCCTGGGATGCTGCTGGTGGGATGCTCAGGGCTGTGCTGCTGCCCTCAGCCCCTGCCTGTGTGAAGCCAGAGGGATGCTCAGAGCCAGGGGCTGAGCTGGCTCTCCTGCACCTCCCCGAGCGTGGCAATGACCCAAACGAGCTGCGGGGAGCTGGTTTGCACCCCAAGGCCCACGGGTCCCAAATCCAGGCCGGATTTGCGGAGGAGCCTGGTGTTCCCTGCTCCCCTCCAGCACCTGCTCCTCAGGCACGTGGCCAAGCTCTGCTGTGCGGGTCCCTGAACTCTGCCTCCCCCCATTGCCACGCTTTCCATGCGTTTAACGGGGCTGCTCTGCGAGCTGGCACGGGGCCGGAGGGATTTCTATTCCTCTCCTCCAGCCTCCTCCAGGCTCATCCCTCCTCCCCCGCTCCGCCGCTGCCCGGTGGTCTCCCTTCCGCCTTAGGAAGTGATCCTTATTATGGAGAGAAAGGAAGGACACGGACACCTCCTGAATGCAGAGAGCGTTTCCTGGAGCTCCCCTGAAGGAAAAAAAACCCATCACCCTTAGCCCTCCGTGCCTGGTGATGCAGGTGGGGGGCTGCCAGCCCCGAGCCCCGCGCTCCCGGATCCCACCTGGAGCACAATGGACCTCCTGACCTTTCCTTGCAGCATTTAAATATCTCTGCCTGGTGCATTTAAAAGGGCTCAGTGCTCTGCTCTGATGCTGTAACCTCGCTGAAAGCAGAGTCCCACTCATATAATCAGAGCCCACCGCTGCCTTTAGGAATTCCCTGTTCCTTGGGATTTGCAGCTTGGCGAGCAGGAGTGTGCAAAACACGAGGCCTCCGTTCCCACCAGTTTAAATCCTGATTTTCCATTGTGTCCACATCACCCTCTCCACGCAGTCACTGACCCACTGCTCCCAAACCAGGAGTTTATTTTCCTTTACCTCTCCACAGGAGCTCAGGGAATTTCCAAGGCATTCGCGCTGCCAACGCAGGGAACGTCCAAAGAAGGGGAAAAAACTGATTTGAGGAACTTCAACCTAATTCTTTTCGTGTGGGAGGTGCTTGGTAGGCTTTGAAAGCTGCTTTTACCATCGTGAAGTGGTCAAGGGTGGACTTACATGTGGTGGAGGGAGCACCAGCCACAGTGGGGGTCCCCCGAGCTCAGGCACTCCCCGCAGGTCGTGTACTGCTCACAGGACTCCACGGGCACCCGGGACACCTGCAAGGGAAGCAAACACAGGGCTCAGTGCTGCTCTCACTCCGGCAAAACCAGAGCAGCTCCAGGTCCTGCTCTGCCAGCTGGAGCCACGTAACACGACAGCAATTCACCGCCTTAAATGAATTTGTTCCAATATCCAAGAATAGGAAATACTGGAGAGCGAGACGTGAAGTCAGCCCATCCCCTGGGGGGAATTGTGGGCACACAGAGCCCCAGCTGGGCTCCCACTCCTGGCGCCAGAACCCCCCGACCTCCCTGCCCAGACGTGCTCCCATGGCCAGAGCTGTTCTCTCCTCCCTGATTTACAGTTTGCTATCTCCCACTGCTGCAGGGAGGAAAGCTGGCGGGGAATACAATCCATTGGGATTTTGTCAGCTTGTTTAGTCTAGGTGGGTGTTTCACTGCTGGCTCCTCCTTGGCCACCCTGAGCCCTTCCAGCACCAGCGTGGACTTGGCCCCCCAGGCATGACCCACCAGGGGATTCCTGCTCTCCCAGGAAGAGATGCCAGAGAGGGAAGCCCAGGTGGAACAATCCCAAATCCTTCAGGCAAGGCCCCTGCAGGATGCTGAGGTGTAGCACGGTCCAGACCTGTTTATCAGCACTGAAAACCCCAAAGGCTCCAAAATGACACCAAGCTTTAATCATAGGTCACTGCTTGACAACATGAAGAAATTTTTAACCTTTTTAACCACTTTAACCTTTACAAGCCATCCCTTTGCCACCTCCAACGGGCACGGTAGGTTTGCATCCCTGTCCTGATTGCTGCAGGGGGATGCTCCTGCACTGGCCCATACATACAAATATATGGAAGAAATTCTTTACTGTGAGGGTGGTGGGACACTGGCACAGGTTGCCCAAGAGAGGTTATGGACACCCTAAAAGTGTTCAAAGGCAGATTAGACAAGGCTTGGAACAACCCGGTCAGGGGGCGATAAGGAACGTGACAAGGCCAGAATTCCACCCCAAACCGTCCCGAGATTCGAAGGTTCCATTTGCATTTCTGTTCCCAAACACTGCAAATAATTATTGCCCAGCCCTGCAGCCTTGGCTGCTCCGCTCAGGGCCCTGGGAGTGATGCCTGCAACTGGCTGGAAATTAAAACAACTGCCGGCATCGCACTCGCTCTGTCCGTCAAAACAGCACCCGGCTCCCAGCAGCTGGGAGGGAAAGCAGTGACCAGCAGTGAAAGGAGCAGTGTCTCCCCAAACAACGGCCACTTTCAGGCCAAGTGCTGTTGACACAGTGAGAACCCAGTTCCTCTCTGAAGACGACACCAATAGGGCTGCTATTCTTCTTGTTTCCTCAGCCCCTACTCAACAGCTTTTCCTGAAACCAAAAAAAAAAAAAAAAAAAAAAAAAATCGCCCGTGGATGAGTCCCTGGGATGAGTGGGTTGTTTTTTTGTGGGATTTTTGGTGAGGTGGAGCCCGTGGGGTGGGTGCAAGGCTTAGTTTTGGGGATGCTGAGAGCTGGGAATGAGGGGTGTGAGGGGCAGAGGCAGGTACACCAGGAATATTTTTGGTCTATCCTAGGTGGAAAGAGCTTCAGAAATAGAGAAGGTGATAGCATGGAGATGGAAAGGAAGGGCTTGGGTTGGAATCCTGGCTGCAGAAGGTGTTTGGGGTGTACTCTCAGGGTCTACGCCTTGACTGGTCACATGTGATGTATTTTACCTGCTTTGCTTCTTCCTTTAAGGAGCTAAAAGCACTTTATGGATGTTATGGTGGGGTGGGAGCGAGCCCAGGATCCCAGTGACAGGCACAGCCCCCTGGGATGGCCCATCCAGGGCTCACTCCTGCACCCTGCCCAGTGCTGCCACCATGCCCATGCCCTTCCCACCACCAGTGCTCACCCAGCATCTCCCAGTGCAGACATCACCCTGCTCCTGGGTGGAAAACTAGAAGCAAATGTGTTTTCCAAGCCAGGCAAGCATCCCTTGGGAGCTGCCATGGCTCTCACCCCCTGTGAGAGACACCAGCCACCACAGGATGCATCCAGGAAGCTCACTGGGTTTCCCACCTAAAATCTCCCCAGCATGTGCTGGTGGGTTGGCTCTCACCCATCCTGGAGGTCAGGACAGCCCCCAAAATCCTCAGGCACTGCTGCCCCACCTCGTCTTACCCACAAAGTGAGGCTTGACAGGATCTGTCCCTGTGATTTATATGCAGCTCAGGGCTTGTTTCATGTTTGTGAGGAGCTGGATGCTCTCACAGGGCTCTATAAATAACAGAGGATTTGAATTAGATGAATAAGAGTTCATTAGAGATGATTTTATGTTACGCGTTCGGGTTCTTTTTCTGCTCAGAAGCTGCGGCTTCTGCACATGATAATTCTTTAAAAATGCCACAGGAACTGGGAACAATGCAAAGAGTTGCAGAGTTCCAGCCCAAATGGGACCATTTTATCCTTTCTTTGTAACGCTGGAAAAAGGCAAGGCAGGGAACTTCACCCATTCAACCTCTTTTGGGGACCAAAACAGACCTGGCTGAGGTGTGTGGGTGGGCTTGGTCCTACCACAGGGCAGCAGAGCCCTGAGGGTCCCTCTGGATCAGCAGTTCCATAGCCTTGGATATGCCCTGTGGTCTCTGGCTGGAGGAAGGCACAAAACTTCAGAGGAGAAGGATTTCTTTCTCTGATACTTAATCCTGTGTCTTTGGAATTCACCCTTCGTAGAAATTATTGCCCCAATGTCCAAGTAAAAGTTTAAATGAATAAGTTTAGGCAGATTATGATCAGAAGCACTGGAATATTTCCATGCATGAAAAAAAACTGGGGAGTTTTGCAGTATTTGCCCAGCTCTCTCAGCACTAGCACATAATCAACCCCCCTTACCAGCCACAATCCAAATATCAAATATATTCCAACCCTCCACAGAGTATGTTTCATTTTAATGGACAAACAAGAGAAATCCCTTTAAGAGTAGGACACATCCATATGTTATCCCACACCTCTCATGAACACAGAAGACTGAAAGCTGTATTTCCTTCAGAGACAGCACAGCAGTAAAACATTGCTGCCCTTACTCTTCCTGATGGCAGGTTGGAAAGACTCTCTTGGCTTTAGGTATTTTTAAACTGTTCTCTGACAGCCTAATTGTCATTATGAGACCAAAGAATTTGCTCTGGGCTGGGCAGAGAAGACAAGGAACAGCAGTGCCTGCAGCTGGAAGGAAAACCAAGACGGATCAGGGTGGGGGACAGGGGACTCCCAAGTCCAACAACTTCCTGCCATGTCCCCTTCAGCCAACAAGGAGATGAAAAATGAGAGCATGGAGGCAAAAGAGCAGCAAAATAGGAAGGAAATAGTAAGGAAAGGAGACAGAAAAGCACTGAAGGGAAAACCAGAAGGAAACATAAGGAAGACAGGGCAGAGGGATTTGCTGTTGCCCCTGGTACAGCAGCGGCTGTCGCTGCCACACACCGACATTCCCAGTGATGGGATCCTGTTTGGATTCTAAGGAGGCATCCTGTGAGCCCCTGTCCCTGCACACACCCCCTCCTGCCTCCCACACCAGCAGCTCTGCTCCCCATCCCAGGGGAATGAGGGTCACAGGATCAGCCTGGGCACATTTTATGGCCACCAGCGGCTCAAGAGAGGGTTGAAATGTTTCCCTCAGCAGCCAGATCCAGCAGAACCAACGGAGCCCAGAGCAGTTGGCTGCCCCTGGCAAGGCAGTGGAAAGGGCAGGGAGGGAGGACAGACCCTGCCCATGAGCTGTGCAGGGTCAGCTCTGCAGGCCCACGGCTTTCCAAAGGCAGGGAGCGGGAAAGCGGGGTGCAGTCACCCTCAGCAACCCCAAATTCTGGCCACCACAGCACTCGTGGCATCTCCACCCCATCATCCCCATGCCAGCAGGCACCAGCACCTCTCAGATCTGCAGACCCAAGGTGACTCCCATCTGTCACAGCCTGGTTTATTTGGGAAGGATTTTGGACTTCAGTATTTAGTTTTTAAATGCAAATACTTCTCTTTGCTCACGTGAGGGAAGATAGGTCAGAGGAATGCTTCTGGCACTCCGAGCAAACATCTCAGAAGGTCCATTACCATGGCAGGAGTGTATCCCCCACTTCTCTCTGTGCCAAAATGAACCTGCTTCTCAACAATTAGATGATAAAGTCTCATTACTCCTTTCCCTGACTGCCTGACCCGTAACATCAGCTAAAAAAAAAAAAAAAAAAAAAAAAAAAAAAAAAAAAAAAAAAATCAATACAGACTCTCCAAAACACATGAATTCCAGCTCAGCCAGCCCTCAGAGAAAACAAGTGCAAGAAACCAGTTCCAAATAAATAAATACCTAAAATAAACAACTAAAGCAAAGTTTCCACAGCTTGTGCGTGCCACCAGCCCAGGCCTCTGACCTCCCCGGCTGGAGACAGCCCCTGGGGTGTCCCACCACCACGGCACGCTGCCCACAGACCCCTCAGGGGGCTGGAGTTCAAACAGAAAATCTATTTTTAATGACTTTGGGGAGTGGAGTAGAGATGCCAACTAGTTCAGTGTAATTAAAGCTATCTATCACTCAGCGAGCAGGAGCCCAAAGTTGATGAACTTTCCAATGAGGTTTTATTCTTCCCTTTATTCATGAGAAAACACTGGCTTTGTGCTGGTGCAGGAGACGTGAAAAAGTGTGGGAAGGAGCAAGGAGGACACATCAGTTCCAGCCATTAACGTGTCAGGGTGACAGGAAAAACAAAGTCAAACTTTCTCAGGGGGTTGTAAAAAATTTGACAGACTCCTCTTCTCCTCCCCGAGTCTCCCTGCAAAACTGCAAATGGAGAATCCTCCTGTGGCACATTTGCCAAGGAATTACCAGCGTGCAGGGATGGGAGAAAAAGAGCAAGACATGTGGGTCCAATCCACCCCACACTGTGTGAAAATTCCTACCTGGAAATGACTTCTTGGTTCAAGCAGAGCCCGTGGAGATCTCAGACACGCTGAGACTGATGCCAGCAAGGAGCACAGAAGAACCAGTGACAAGTGGGATGTGGGCAGGGCATCCA